AACCCTAACCCTAACCCTAACCCTAACCCTAACCCTAACCCTAACCCTAACCCTAACCCTAACCCTAACCCTAACCCTAACCCTAACCCTAAGACCTGTTAGGATGGGTGGTTCATGGGGATACCTACGTGAGGTCCGTGTCTCTTTTTTGTCATTGATTCTGCTCCACAGAGACACTGGAGCATGGGGTGCAGGAGCGCGGTCCTTCATCGCGCTCCTTCACTGTGCTTGTCTTCGCTGCTAGTCGAGAAATGGGAAATGGGAAACGAGCAGCTAGGCCGCTCGTGGGTGGTCCATTCTGCACGTACTCAATCCTACATCCCAGCCCTGCCCAATCCTATGTCCCAGCCCTACTCAATCCTACATCCCAGCCCTGCCCAATCCTACATCCCAGCCCTACTCAATCCTACATCCCAGCCCTACTCAATCCTACGTCCCAGCCCTACCTACAACAGGTTTCCAAACCTACTCGAAACCTACCTCCCAAACAAACGTCCCCATAACCAGAGCTACTCGCGGAATCCCAACCCACAGAGCTGGTGCAGCGCATGCGGGAGGTGCAAACACTGATGCTCGAGATCCACAGACTCCAGACGGATCCGCAATCGCTCAGCAAGCAAGTCGCGAATCGCGAACGCATCCAGGAGATGCAACGTCGCATAGACACTCTTAGCGACCCCTCCTCTCCGCCTGATCCATCTATCATGTCTCCTCCGCCCAATACGAGCCTGGCAAGTTCTCGAGCTCCACCTCTTCCACCCGCCACTACTCGTCCAACTCCTCCTAAACTTCCGCCGTCTTTATCTCGTCCGAATCCTACACCGATACCACCCACTTGGGCTCATTCCACTCCAAGAAGTCCTCTGGTGCGCGCACAATCAGCTCGCAGTCGACCGCCCAGCTACACGAGTAGACTGGATCCATAGCATCCCACAGACATCGTACAGAGTCTTCCCTCGTTGTACTGTCCTCATTCAAGAATGAATTATTCATGAGCCATGCTCCAATCAACCTGTGAGTGCACGCCATCAGACCAACGTCAGACGACGATGATGAAAGAGATGCTGCACCAAAGTCTGATGCTTCAGACGCACGAATCTGCATGACGGAAGCTATCCAACTTCCTAAAGTTGAAGGCATGACTTCACAGCAAAAACGCGGGGCAGTGTTGACACAACCGAGAAGGCCGAACGTCGCCGTTGGGTGGATTGATCCCGAGCAAGAATATTAGCCCAGAAGTCGTCGTTCACTATGTACTCTAGTTTGTAACCAAACTTCAGCGGCGCTGATCGACTTCCCGGGCGCCTTACTTTGTAGTTGGGAGATAACGATAAGCGTGAATGTAGACTTCGGACGAGGAAACGTACTTGGAATTATCGTTATTCAGATTCTGCCCTAAGCACATCACGTAGGCTGGACGCAGAACTAATCACCGAGCCCACATGAGGAAATGAAACCGTGATTCAACGAGTCTTGAGATCTTGAGAACCCACCACTACCCACACGCTCAATTCATAGTGGTCCCTACTCCTATGCACCTTTCAGCAGACGGGTTGACGATCTCGCTGAACCAACGCTCTGGTCCACTCCAGCAGACCAAAATAGGTGAACTGGTGAAAAAATAGGTAGTTCTGGCAACGCTCGCTGAAGAACGGGCGAAGACTGTGAGTCGAGAAGATATATAAAGATAGCTCGATGGAGAGCTCCGACCCAGGACGAGGATTTCCTGTCCATTCCCGTCCACAGCAAAAAAAGACGGTCGGCGCGACGGCACTTGGAAGAATGGGAGCGAAATATGAACGTAAGAGAAAAAATGGGCAGCAGAATATGATGAGGAAGTTGGTAAGGAAATCAAGGAAGATCAGAAAAAGGGCAGCGAAAAGGATATCTAACCACCTCGACAAAATATACGTCGTGCAGGCAAAATCACCCTGCCCAACGACAATGAACCTATGCTGAAGGAAAGTAGTGCTTAACCAACGAAAGCGAGCGGCTGTGTCGAAAGACCTTCACGAGCGACGGATGAACATCACGGGTCCAACACGCAGATAGAACCAACGAACGGATGGATACCCTGGCCTTAACAAGCCTTTGCCGTGCACATGGCCGCATTTGTGGAGAAAGAGGCGCAATCGTGGGTGGTAGACGCGCCCGCAAACCCGGCCAAACTCGACAATAAAGGAAGGTAGAAGAGGATTCCGACATGTAAAAGAGAGAAAGAAGAGGAAAGACCACCTCTGCGCACGAAGACCGGGAGGAGAGCAGAAAGACGGATAAATCTAAACAGCAACAACGAAGGGTCGTGCGATCATCTTCGCTGAAAATAAGGAATACGGGAGGGACACGTAAATCCCTCGCTCACGGGAGCTCCGAAAAAAGGAGACCAAAACAGAAGAGTTCGTGGAGGGGCGGCGAGTACGACTAGCAGCCTCGTATCCTCCAACGGCTAGGAAATGGCCAGGGTGGGCACCAAAGAAGGACAGAAAGGAGCGACAAAGAGATATGGGATATCAGAACAATGCGTACTTCACCACTAAAGGTGCGTAACGAGGTAAATCCAGTATCTAACACAAACGCCAACGTCAGTAAAGCATAGCACCAAAAGGAAAATCAACGCACCATTCTCCGTTGCCCAACTCGACCATTCCCGGCACACCACCGCAGCCCCAAGCTTCAGGCACCTTTCCAATGGATTCACAAAGGAACTTCCGCGAAGAAGAGGAATTGCGAGTGTCCGTCCGCAGGAGACAATCGGAGACTAGAGAATTTTGTAACACGGGAGTTGAAGGGGGTCAGAGAAGCTATAGGAGCCCTAGAGCCAGAGACGCGAGGCCCGAATATCTGAAACGTCGATAGCGTGATTCTGGGGAACGTCGATGAGTGAAGGTCAGGAGCAAGTCGTCGCTGTGGGAAGGAACGGAGAAATTTCAAGCTCCGATATCGGCCCGGTCAAATTTATCACCAATTCGGACATCGCCCACAAGTTTCGCTCTTGTCTTCCCCCACCACCTGTCCTCGCAATCGCTCTCTTTATCATTAAATAACAACTTGGAAAGCCTTTCATTCAGTTGTATTTTGTCAAGTTACACGAAGCTCATGTCTGGAGCATCACTCTTGCACCACTGAGGGTTCTTCAATTTATTCCACCGCGAACGGCGATACTCTGGTGCTTTTCGCCATTCAACCTCTTTCTTGGCGAACGCGAACGTGTCATGGTCGCATCGTACAAGTTGATTTACCCCCCTTCGAATCGGGCTCTGTAGGTCCTTTGCGCGCCTCGCATTGCATATATATGGGCTTCACGACTTCTATACAACGCAACCGCGGAGGAATCTTGGTATCACTTGGCCCTTCCTCGGAGACATACACCTAGAATTTCGACTATTTGCCTTGGCTTATACTGGCTATATAATAGCTCTGCTCATCTGCTGAAGTTCTCTGCCGAATGAACTAAGCCTGTCATGCGTTTCCAATCGTCAATTGTTGCTCTTGTTGCTCTTGCCGGGTTTTCATTTGCCCAGGATGTCAGCGTCGCGGACGTGAAAGCTGCGTTCGACACTGCTCGTGTAAGACGTCCTCATAGATTTATTCTTGATCCCTTTATATTTCGTCTTACAGATCCCAACGAGCTTGAACCTCGCCTTTGAGCCAACCGCCCTTCTGACCGTATCGTTCCCGCAGCCAAACGGTACCCCTGTGGTCCTCACGACCGGTGCTCGTATCCCCCGAGCCTGTTCGTTTTCATCTCTCTTCGTTCTCGTTCTTCGCTAATATTCGTCTTCCTGGTTAGCCACCGCCGGACCCCCACAATACAAAGTCAACGGGACCACCACCTCCGGGCCATTCGTTATCGCCATGGTCGACCTCGACGCCCCGACGCCGCAATCCCCGACTTGGTCCCCGATCCGGCACTACCTCGGCGGCGGATGGAGCGCGAACAATGCCGCAGACCCTGGCGTGCTCACGACGACCACTGCAGCGGTGACGGCGTGGTTTCAGCCCTCACCTTCGGGGACAGATCCTCATCGGTACGTTCATCTTGTTTCACCCCGAATTCGTCAAATTTAGTGTTCGACGGTTTGCAGATACGTCTTCCTGTTGTTCAACCAATCTCCTGAATTCGTCACCCAGCGCCAGGTCACAGCTCAAACTTCCATCGTCAGCTGGAACCTCGCCACCTTCGCCCAGCAGGTGGCTCTCGGCAGCCCAATCGCAGGAACCTTCATGCTCGTTAGCGCACAGTGATTTTTTATCTTCGAAGAACCCCGGGAAACTTGAAGTGTCAATAAGGTTGATGAGACAGGTGAAAGAGTCGAGCATCCATAATTTTTCGAAATTCCAAAATGCCATTCTATTATTTATTCACATGGCCGCCACTGAACTAAGGCCTGCAAGCGAGCGTTTACGAACTCGTTGGTTCCCTCAAGGTGCATAACCCAAACCCAAGGAATCGAGTGACCCGGCTTGTTTAAGGCGCTTAAATATATTTAACGGTCTTGCAGTTAGTGCGACTCCGTTGTACGCCGATCGAGCTGCATTTTCAGGGGCCACAGACCTATCGGCAGTGATTGAAACAATGATAGTATTCCAGTTCGCGAATGGAAAGCACCGAAAACTTCGGGTGCCACTCATACATTTCCTTACTCTCAAGAAATTCGACCTTGAACTAAATTTAGGCAGGCAAGTAGAGTACGACGCGACCTCAGATGCGCTCCACTCGCGCCGCCTATGTCAACTACCGAGAGGCGGCTCTCCCGTTCGCAGAAGACATGATGGCGGGCTAACAACGAAGCTATGACGCTACGGGCTGGAGGCGGGGATCGTGTAATCCGTCGATCTTACGGATGTTAGTGACCCACCCCCTTTAGGCAGTGGAGTGGAACAAAACGCAAGTAACGACGTACCGGCGCCTATTTCAAACTCCGAGTGAGAGGAGGGCTCACTCTCGTCGCGCCAGAGTCTTTATTTAGCACAGCGCCATCACGAAACGCTCGGCAAATTCAGGCGTCGCCTTGAAGTGCCGCATGTCCACAACTATGAGCGGTGTAGAGAAAATTGCGAAGGAGGGATAAAAGGCAGGCGGGCTCGACAGCCATTTATCATCACCAACTACTTCATACTCGTTCAGACTTACCACTCCTGTCTTATTCACCTCCAAACATGAAGATTTCCGTCCTGTCCACATTCGTCTTCCTTGTCACCCTTTCGACGTCAGTCATGGGGCAGGCGTAAGTCTTATTTCTGTCACCTCCATTTACTACCTACAGACTCACACGTGCCACTATAGCGCCTTCGCCGATGACATTGACGATCTCATGGCCCGCGAGCCCAGTCATGACGAGTCCGTCTATGCCAGGGAGTCTGTCGAAGACAAGCTCGTGCTGCGAGGCCTGGAGGAAGTCCGCCGTAGGAGCGAAGACCACGTATGTCCCTGTTCTCCCTTTACACAGCGAATTTCGCTCATCCCTCGTATTCATATAGCTTCAGTTCGTCGAGCGTTCCCTTGAGCTAATCGAGAGGCGCAGCAAGTATTCGTGCTACCAGGATTGCATCAGGAGGTTTACTGGATCCAACCTCACCAAATGCTACAAGAATTGCGATGGCTTGTGGGGCCCGAATGGCAGAAAGTAATCCTTCAGGCTGCGAAACCCCATATGCACATGTTGCAAATACAGTCGTAGCCCTCCGTATTCTTTCAGAATTTCTTCTTCTTTCCATCCTAATATTGACACTCGTTCACCTTCTTGTTCTCGTTGTCCACGCCTTCGGGCTTGGCTATTCGGACGTAAATTTTATTATCTATTAGCCTGGAATCCTGTGAGCATTCGTAGTACGTAGACCGTATTAGGAATTTGCCATTCGTTTTTATTTTTCGTGGTTCCGAGGTCCTTCTTCCCGGCTACAACTTCACCATGACGAGGCTAGGATTTACGTCCTTGGAATGTACGCCTACGCACGAGGCCCTAGTATATACAACTGTCGACGCATCGGCATAGCTTTTTACATGAAGGCTATTCATCCCAGGTTTGTCAATAATAGGTGCCTCGTGTCTACGAATATGCAGTTCTCACTTGTCGATGGTTGAGTCCGAGACCACCGGCGAGTAGCCATGCGGAACTGTGCCTGGTCCCGACGCGACATCTTGGCGCCCACCTTCGGAATCGGAAACGATAAGGGGATATTTCCGCTCTAGCGCCCGTTATGACACTCCCGGCCCCCGGGTTCCAAAATCCAACCTCCGAGAGTGCTCCACGTGTGGCGTTCTCTTCGAAGTCTGTAGTATGAACGTTCGAACGTTCAATATTCAATGTTGACAGACACATCCACGCTCCCATTCTCCTGCCTTTTTTTATTTAGTTCTTCTCTCCCGAAGCTGAGCGACGCTGTGCCTAAATCTCTCTCCACCGCCTCGCCCCATCGCCTTCTCAATTCGACGAGATGCCAAGCATATGAAGCCCGCGTGATATACTCTCGAGTCAACGTGAGCAGCCTGGTATATGTTAGAAGCCATATCAGTCTCTGTAAGTGCACAGCCTCCCTCCTTCCTTCCTGGCTACATAAACAGAGTTCGTCATTCTTGCTTCATTGATATAGAAGTACGACCATGTCCAGCAACAACAATACCAGGGTCTCTCCTCTCGCCATCACTTTACCAGTGATTGGAGTCATCCTACTGGCCATGATCATCGCCAGTTGCAGGAAGAAACGCCTCGGTGAGGTCCTCATAGAAAATTCTACTCCAACACCTTGAGACTGAAATCTTTTCAGAAGACAGAGTGGTACGGGAGCCCACACCTCCTGTTCTTCCGCAGTATTCGCGAGAGCGATACGCGTCTGCAAATATTTGGGATACACCAAACATAACCACCTATCCACCTGGTGCCAATGACATACCCGCCGCGTACCGCGTTCCTTCGACTCGTCAACAATCAGCTTTCCCTGTCCCAATGACCGGCGTTTCGCGGCACAGCTCACCTGAAACCCCCCAACCAATTCCAACGACACTCCTCGAACGTATGAAAGAGGTGCAACAGCTGATGTTGGAGATCCACAGGTTGGAGGGTCGTACAGGAGTGACTGCAGAAGAGGAGATCACCAATCGCGACAAGATTGCAGAACATCACCGGAGGATTACGGTGCTCAGTGAGATGAACAGCCAACCCTCGCTGGAAGCTGAAGCGACGTCGAGCTCTTCGCCCGAGATACGCGAGCCACCTCCTGCCTATGCGCCGGCAAGATAGTATAGGACGCCTCGACACGGCTTTCGAGTGAAGGCTGTTCGTCCCAAGTTTCGCGACAACTAGGCCCTCAGCTCTCATGCGCTGCAGGTGCTTGAACATGTAAGGAAAAAGTAATTCAAACCTATAACGAACAATGCCAGCGCTGATATCGAATGTAGGGAGCCTTTGGGGTACGACCGCGTACGGAAATAGCCCTTGGATAGGATGCCGGTTGCCTGCCGAAGGGACCAGCTGTTCCCACGCTCCCAATTCGAAGATACAGTTTATTATATAATATTCATCTGTTGCTTCGAGTCAGTCAAAGCCGTGCAAACAATTGAACGTCTACCCACTTACATTCCTACGTATGTCGCTTCGTCAGTGTGTTCCTACCGTCTGTCTCATGACGATCTAGCGAAAAATGGCGCCCTGGTCTTCGAAGATCACAAAGCGATTCAGCACTGTCCCTCCCAATGCTCGTGAAAATGACTACTATGCACCATACAACAAACTGCTCTATACCCTCTTCCCTGCCGACTCCGACTACACGGTTGCTCCTCAATCCTACTCCGTCATGAACTCTCGCGACTCCGTGGATTTCATCATCGAGTTTGAAGTGCGTTTGGAGGACAAACCAGTCTTTTTCGTGGAGATAAAGGAGCCAAGCAAGATAGCTCTTAAGTCTGCTCGTGAGGAAGCCGATAATCAGATGAGGAAACGGATGGGGGATTTAGCCCCTGTCTGCCCTCTGGATACCCTCAACGGAGTGAGCGCCTTCGGCACGCGGCTTTCCTTCTACTCCTACGACAAACGAACTCGTATCCTTCCTGGCCGCATATCTCCTGACCCTCACATGGAGACCGATACAGCTCCGTTGGACCGCTGGGATTGCGACATTTTGGAAGACGAGGGAGCCCAACGGTTCCAAGATCTTGTTGCAGAGATCAAGAGGAAATGTGACCGGCTTTAGGACGTGTGGAGTGCTCTTGCTGACGCAGAGAAACGACGTGGTACGTTCGATATAAAATATGCAACTTATATTGACATCTCACTTTTTCGTAGGTTGCCTTTCTACTTGGGTTCCAGGCCATAACGCCTAGTGCCCTTGTTGATGCCCACTTTCTGATTATTTTCTGTCGATTAATGCCTGGCGCTTTGCCGCAATCGTGTATCACCATAGTCCACTCTTACATCCCAGTCCAACCGACTTCGAAGGGAACCTAGTCGCAATTCGTTTTCTGCTCCTTTCGCATAATTTACCTGCCCGTCTTCTCGAAGATTCTCCTCTTTCCATCCGAGTTCCTTGACCTAATGTTGCTGTGCTTGTGTCACTAGGCTTGCCAGGATCTCCTTCAATTCCGGTCGTACAGAGAGGATTTCAGGACCATTGACGCTTCAAGGCGAAGATACCACCTCAGCGGTTAGTCGGTTGCCCTTATCGATATAAAATAGATCATTTTCTAAGTCCAACGCTCCACACGGGGCTGACGTCCACGCAGCGTAGGACGCACATCGTCCTCCAGCGAGGACACACATACTCGATAGTTACTCATGCGCACTTTGTCCTCCGCGCGAGGACAAACCAGGTGCCCAGCAGCACACCCGAGGCAGCCAAATCTAGTATTTTGTCATGCAGCTGCCACAACGTCGAGAACAGCTCTTGGTCGCTTTCTGACTGCTCCGCGTCCCCCCAGCGTGCACTTTCCAACTGGCAGCCTGAGGGCTTTTTAAATATAGGATTCACTTCAGGCTCGATATTCATCGGAGCACACCTGACTGCGGACCGCGCTATCATCCTCATGGCACCGCTCGCCATCACTGACGCTCGATATCTCTTCGAAGAAGGGTTCTTATATGCCGGCCATCTCGACTCCGTTCTAGCCTGGTCAACGACGGGTAGTCACGAACGTGATGATTTCCAGGAATAATATCTGTCGTGCAAGCTCGGCGTTGTGTTGCGTATGATAACTTCACATTTGCTGTCGCCCCAGTGCTTCTACTGGTGGCTCGTCTATCGAAATATCTTCGAAGCTTTCAGAATTACCTGGTGTCGTCATCCAAGCTCGGGTCCTGGATTCACGGACTTGGTCGTTTATAGACTTTGGTCGCTATCTAATCTTATCTGATGGACGCCCATCGATTTTCCACACGTTTCTGCCGGACCATGACACAGCCCGACCATTGCTGGCCAACATCAAGCCATGTCTGTCCGACCCGGACGTGCACTGCCTATATACCTCATGCATCATCCCAAAATTCAGTCTACCTGTCGATTCGTCCACCACTTCGCCCGCTGCGGGAAGGAATGCTGCCGCCAACGAACATACTACACGCTTAAATCACGTCTTTAATGGGCTCAGGAGCGAAAGGCAAGGGCAAGGAGAAGGAACCGCGCGAGAGGAAGAAACCAGGCAGAGTGTGCGCCTCTCTTTTGTATTTTTGCTGTCGTGCTATGTCAACTTGGCTCACAAACCTCCGTCATATCAAGGCCTACTTCCTGCGCGGAATGCAGACGACTGAAATTGCGCTGCGATCGCAATGTACGTTCTTTTCGTTTCAGGACATCGCCCGAGACGCGGGCGCTGTTCCGTACTCGTATCTCAGTACTTTCTAACCATCACATTCTGAAGGTTCCATGCGAAAAATGCGTATCCCGAGGGTGTGGTTCGATCTGTCCGGACGGTGCGCCTCTTGCGTTTTTCGACCATGACCGACTGCCATACCGAACACTGTCCAGGCTCTCTCACTCCAGGCAAGGGAGGCCGTCTCATCCTGGCCAACACGGAGCAGCTTCACGAACAGATCGAGCGTATACAATACCGAAATCGCGAATTGGAGAACGCCCTTCGTCAACTGCAGGAAGAAGTGTCGGACGAACCTCACCCGCTGCTCAGGACCGATGTGCTGCAGACCAACTTCCTCCAAGGATCCTCTTCAGGAGCAAGCACGTCGTCATAGAGTAAATCGCCCTCAACATCGCGTATTAGTCCAATAACCCACGCGCCTGAGCCGATTGAAGCGAGGTTGGAAGAGGACCACGGTATTATCGATGCTTTTGGTACGCGATTTCTTCATTATATGCAGCCTGCGCTTACAGCACCCACGCGAAACAGGCACTATGGCCATCAACCGCCGAGGATGTTCTGCATTTCTAGGGAGAACAGCACGTCCTGAGGTATGCGCCCATATCTCTTCGCACTCTCGTGATGCTCATCTGTCGTAGTTTCTGCTCAACGTATGTCGTCATTTGGTGCATCACCACGTCGATCTATTCCTGATCTCACAACCATTCGTCCCACAGGCGACTCCCAAATCACAGCGAGTGGCCTTCCCAACTGCGCCTCGAATATCAAAGAGGATCATGGAGCTTTCGTTTCCAGAGTCCCAGATCCCGGATGCGAGCCTCGTTACGGAGATGCTCGAGTTGCTTCCATCGCAATCCGACGGGCTCCATCTTTGTGATGTCTACCTGGAGCATGGAAAGTTCGTGTAAGTTTTTTTTAATACCTCTTCTTCGGGAGACCCGCGTAGCTTTCATTCCTGCTGACCCTATTATAGCTATACCGCTCTTCCTCGGAAGGAGCTCCTTGATGACATCTTCGCTGTCTACCGAACCAAGTACGCCTCTTTGACCTTCGGGCATCTTCGGGCCTAGCTGACAAGAATACCCATAGACACCTCCCGAATTTCGAGCACTTCCATGCCCTCTCGCTACTCTTTATCGTCTTCGCTCTCGCGACCCTCTTCGACCCCAGCTCTCCGCCTTACGCCCCCGAAGGACACGAATATTTCTATCTTTCACGCGCTGCCTTCAACCATATCGGGAAACGACACTAACGACGATCCAGACCCTTGTGAGCCACTTTTCCTTCGCTGTCATTACCTTTCTGTATGGGATTACGGTTCCGACACCGGCCTCTCGGCGACGTGTCACTCTTCGTTGTTTAGGTTCTGAGGCTGTTGACAGCGTTCGAGGAAAGGGATAGTGAGCGTAAGTCGCAGTTCGTATTCTCGAGAACGAAAGAGGTTTCACCCAAGTTCTCTCAGTATTCTCTAGTGCCGGCTGCCCCCACGTAAATGTTGAGCAGACAATCAGTGGACCACAAATTTTCTTCCTACCCTGGCTTCGTTCTTGTTTTTTTTTTTTCTTTCTCAAAGAACTCAATAGCGATCGCGTTTTTATTTTTTCTGTTTTCACAGACGAGTGACGAAAATTATCACCGATAGGAGCCCTTTTCTTTCTTCTGTCTGGTCGAATATATCTCTAGCCATCTTCCATTGCGAATAGTCGTCGTCTTAACTCGACCAGTCCAAGGACATAGATTATTGCGCCTTCAGACTCGGTAACTCATGCAATCCAACCGCGATCGTTAGAGTCCCATGACGTAGGAGGCTACATGTTGGAAGGTGGAATTACCATAATGTTACCGCCGTATGCAAGACGGATTTCCACCGGACGAGCCTTTAACAGCCGTTTGCGCCTTCCGCGACTCTGAGATCAAGATATCCTTACGATGGCCACCACAAAAATACACTCTCTCCAAATTTCCTCGGTCCTGCATCGGAGAGGCGTTAACAACAAATTACACTTTGCATGAAACGACGGTTGGTCACAAATTCAAACGCGTATGCGATCCGTTGGGGAGACATTAATGTCGCAGAAAGTACATAATGAGGTTCTGAACCTTGAGCCAATCACTTAGAAGGTTCAAAGCGAAGCGAACTTCAAGACTTTCGGGCAAGGAACGCTCCAACGGCGGCCCCGAGTATGCACCTTTTTCTTTTGTGGCCATCTCCCAGCCCAGACTCCAACGGAAGGCCGTTGGGAGGCTGAAGATACTGAGTTCCCGTGCTGTTGAAGCCGAGGTAGCATAGCCGATGTTCTGGACGTAAAAGGACGAGCGACGAGTTGACGTTGTTGCGGAATTACGGCGCGGTGGAGAGCTGGGGTCGTATCCGGCACTTTACAGTGATGTCGTGAATTTTATCTATCTGTATGAGCCTCCGTCGAAATATGGATGGCGAAAGGAGGCTCAACGTGAAAAGAATATGTTGCAAGGCCCAGTAGAGCGATAAGATAAGACGAAAGAGCACGCGAATTTGGAAATCAGGGGCGCGATTTGTCTGTCACACACGCGCTGGGCACGCACGACTTGTTCTCGTACCACCACCACAACCGTATCGGATCTTGGCTCCCATCTCTATAAACCCGGCTTTTGGGGTACGAGTTTCTTTCTCTCTTCCCTCTTTCAATCGCAGAGTCTGATTAAAGTTCCAGTTCCGTTCCTATTCGCGAGCTAAGCCTGTGTTCGACCGACCGACGTACTAAAGAACGAACGATAACGCCCGCCATGCCTGTTTCAGAGGCTATATTGACCCAGATTCTGGCGCAGCTGGAGACAATGCAGGTCGCGCAGCAGACGATGCAAGCCAAGGTTCGTTCGTTCATCTTCTCGTCGTTTCGTTCGTCCTGCTTTTCGTATTCCGTCTCGTCATCTTCGCTATCTTGTTTATCTTCGTCGAGCCACATGCTTATATTCTCTCCAGCTCGACTCGTTATCTGCGGGTGCTCGTCCAAGCTCGCCATTGGAGCCGAAGGCCTTGCTTCCGATGCCCAGCACGCCGCCTCGTCCAACGTCGATATCAGCTGCATCCTCCCCGGTGTCGAAACAGAAGGCTCTCGATGAGGAGAGAAAGGCGGGCCTGGCGTCCTCATCGCCCAATACTTCAACGCCGCCGAAAGTATTGACGGATAAGGAGAGGGAGAAGCTGTTGTATCCTGGGCGGGTCAATCTAACAAGTACGTCTCTGTTCATTTCTTCTCTTCCCCTTTCCTCATCGTCGCTGCGTCAGCCTACCCCGACCAACATGGTATCGCCCCACAACCTCTCCAATGGGGAGCATCGGACGCCACGACACGCGGACCCGTCATCTGCTCCCGCCTGCCCTCGTCCATCAAGCAACGCAACGCCATCGGCGCTCATTCGGGCTCCTACTCCATCTACCGCGCCCTCGCCATCGCCATGGGCACCCTCAACCCCACCCATAAGCCCGACTACTCCATGACCGAGCCGCCTTTGCCCATACCGCCCAACCCCACCTGGTTCGACCCCTCCAAGATCGTCTCCTTCGACCCGTGGGGTCATCTCGTCCCTCAGGTGTTCAGGAAGGAGACGGAAGAGCTGGGGTTGGACATCCGCCCGAGCATCGCGGTGACGAAGGCCCATTTGAAGATGAGCGAGCTGGACGAGGCGTCGCGGAGGGGCGATTTGACCATTGATGGGTCGATTGTGCTGAAGAGCCGCCCAGTGAAAAATGTCGACGGTTCGGTCAGCGACATCGATCCTGGAGTGGAGGTTACAGTCAGCAAGGCCGCTGTAGAGCCCGTGTGGTACCTCCCTGGCGTGGCTGAGCGGTTCGGAATGTGAGTCTCCGTTCTCTCTCTTCTTCACGAGAACTGAGGACTTCGCTAGCTCGGAGAGCCTCCTACGACGCGCATTGTTCGAAGACACGGGAGGAATGTACCCCGAACTCATCACCCGCCCCGATATCAAAGTATTTCTCCCACCCATCGGCGGCCTAACGGTCTACATCTGTAGGCTTTTCTTCTCCGTGTACGCCCTCATCGTATTTACATTCTATCCGCAGTTGGAAACCCGGCCTTCGTCTCGGATGAGTCGAAAGAACTTACTCTTCGTGTCCATGACGAATGTAAGTCTGAATTCAATTATCTCTATACCGTCTCATGCTCTAAGCATTCTCTTCAAAGGCAACGGCTCTGACGTCTTCGGCTCCGACATCTGCACATGCAAGCCCTACCTCACCTTCGCCATCGAAGAATGCATCCGCGGCGCGCAGAAAGGCGGCGTCGGTGTTGTAGTCTACTTCCGGAAAGAAGGTCGAGCCCTAGGCGAGGTTACGAAGTGCGTCTTACCTTTTCTTCCTCTTTACCTCCCTTGCACTCGTCCTGACTTATAACTTCAGGTACCTCGTCTACAACCTCCGCAAACGCGGCGGCGACTCTGCCGACAAATACTTCAAATCGACGGAGATGATCGCTGGTGTCAAGGACATGCGCTTCCAGGCTCTCATGCCCGACGTCCTGCACTGGCTGGGTATCAAGAAGGTCGACCATATGGTCAGCATGAGCGACATGAAGTACGACGCCATCGTGAAGAGTGGGATTCCAATTTTGAACCGGTATGACATTCCTGGTGCGTACTGGTTTCCCTATTCTTCGTTGATATTTCAACTGACTTCATACTCGTACACTCTATTCCAGACCACCTCATCCCGCCGGACTCGCGGGTCGAGATCGATGCCAAGATCGCCGCAGGATACTTCACGAGCGGGAAGCAAATCACCGAGGCCGATCTGATCAAGACTGTTGGTAGGACTTGGGAGGAGACGGAGCATTAGAACGTGAATCAAGCCGCATATCTTAGATTGTCTTCCCTTGGTTTTTTCTCGTTGTACTTCTCTCTCGCTCTCCGCACATCCGCTCGACTCGTCATTCGTGTAGCATTATATATACGTCTACAGATTCATTCATATCGTGCCCTCTCTATCCTTGCGAACTCTTTTGTCCAACCGCTGCTGCAGCATCTCCTTCACCCTCTCGACTTCGACCCCGCCTCCTTTTTCTTCTTCAACAACTCGTATTCCACGACGACGTCCCTCGGCCTAAACGCCTTGGTCGCTTTCTCTCCAGCTGTAAATTTCATTTCTTCCCGACTTAGCTTGCCACGCCACTCGTCCAACACTTCAACCTCCTTCACACCGTCGACGAGAACGGAGCAGACCATGTGTCCTCCCTCCTTCCTGCTATTGCAGTCGATCTGCCCCCCGTTCTTCTGTGTCCATAGCGAAAGCCTTGATCCAGGATGAAGAATATCGACGTCGGCGTTGACGATGTGTTCGAGGATGGCCATGATCCCGAGGTGGGTAACAACGACACGGACGACGTCGACCGAGCCTCCAGAATCAAATAGGATGGCACCGATGAGCGATTTGATCATGTCGCAGAAGAACTTGGGCGGCTGGATCTTCGAGTGCCGCGCAAAGTAAGATACCCTCCGTCTCGTCGATCGTGCCTGACGAATTTGGGCGAGAGATTCTCGCAGAGAGCCTGGTCGAAGTTTTTAAGCAAATGTACACCAGGAGCTGCCCTTTGACAACGGCGCATATGTCCTGAGCATTAGTTTTTCGCCAGAGCACGATATAGGTAGACGGAGATGATCATGTAGACGGCATCGGACGGAATCACCGAGAAACTCCATACGTTCGTAGAACGGCATTCCCGAGTCGAGTTGGTACGAGGCGTGTATAAACGCCATAATGAGGAGGATCTTGTGCTTATATCTGTCATTCAGCATACGCTGGACGTCGTGGAGTTAAGGCGGGAAAATGAATTCGGCGCCAGAATGGTCGGAGGAGGCTGTTTCGACTCGTGAAAGGACCTGGGCGATACAGTCTATGATGAAATCCACAACGTTTTGCAACGACTGTAGAGTTTGTCAGAGGAAACTCGACAACGCCAAAATAGGAGATATACCTTTCGTGGATAACCTTTGAATGCCCTTCACTTCGACCTTCTTCGACTTTGTCTCTTTCTTTAGCTCATAGAGGCAGTTCTGCTCCTACGAAGGCGAATCGGCGGCCGACGGAGACGAAGCATGGGAGTTTGCAACGAGTGAAGATTTGATACGTGAGGGTTAGGTGGGCGAAATGGATGGGGTGATACTTCGAGAGCCATGTTGCTCGTCAACTATGTAGTTCGGCTTCCACTTTTCCCGAGTATTGTATCTAGAACGGAATTCAATGCCAGTCTTTCAAAGAATTTGAACAACGTTACATCGAATAATTCAACGATACGAGCCCCGCTTTGATGTCTTCCTTTGCCAGCCGCGGATTTGCCCCAGCGTGACCCTTCCTTGTCAAGTAACTGCTTCCCGTACTGTTTGCGAAATCCAGCCTCTTCCTCATCGGAAAGTGGACCGCATAAACCACGGTCGAAGCGCATGCCCTGCGTGATCTCAACCTTTGACACCCTCTTTACCGACCTTCTCTATGGCTCGTGCAATGAAATTGCCGACGTGCGTGTCGCCGTTGGAGGAGATGGTGTCGACCTGAGCAATTTCGGCGGTGGTGATGATGGTCTTAGTGTGGATTCGACGACGCGGTCGTCTACGGCTTGCGAACCTCGGCGGCGGTCCATGGGGTTGCATGCAGCAGCAACATCCTTGACACCTTCTGAGTAGCCTATTGTACCGTCGCCAGCGACTTCATTCGTTTTTTGGACAACGTCTTATACGAGACTAGCATCTTGTTGCAGGAATAGGAAAAGGAAATTTATTGAAGGTCAACGTACCGAGCACCAAGGTTCGCGAACTTGTCTTTCAGCGTAGTCGCCTTCGCAACCGTGACACCTGAAAAAGACATGAGTAAGGGTCCTCAACCAGGATTGATTTGAGTAAAGAGAACACGGAATTATGGTCAAAAAAAATCTGTAAACATCGAAAATCAGGATAGATGCGAAGAAAAGTCGCGGCCGAAAGGTTAAACGAAGACATAGTTCCTCGAAAGGGAGAAAACCGTAGCGAAAGAGGACGGAGGGGAAAGGATAGACCGAAGAGGCGACGATAGGACGAGGTTCCGACTACGTCAACCCAAGTCCTTGGAGAAGAAAAGAGGGACCTAGGTAAGCACGCGCACGTTCCATTGGTTTGAAGCAAGCAGCAGACAACCAAAATTAGCAGGAGCATGCGACTGTGGCGTAGGCCATATCGGCTGCAAACTTGAAAATGACGTTGATGACGAGAGCTGCGACGATAACAAGCATTACCCTCGCTGCCTCCTCCTTCTCGACGCAGCACTGATCACCCTCAGTAAAGAAAACGAGTGTGACACGAACTAACCTTTGGTGAGCTTGGGTCCCCCGAACGACTGCTCAATGTTGACGTTGCAACCTAAGCACGCTCAAGACCTATGCCAACATCCACACAACGACCACAGAATGCCTTCCGCGCACCCTTGGAGCCCAATGTGACCTGCACGGCATTTGCGAGGACCTCCGCGCAACGAAATTGAATGGACTCCGAGACCCCATGTGCCGTCAGATGAAAGTCAGGTGGGTGGGTTACCTTAAATTCCTTCCGAATTCGTCGGCGCGGGCTATGAGGTGATGAGGATGTCTTTTCGGATCGACAGCATCTTCTCGAATGAGCCATGCTCTCCGCTCCTCCCATCCATCACCGCCGGTGCTGTCTATAGGGAGGAAAAGTCGAGGTCCCAATCCATACGCGTGTTGTTCAGCCTCAAGAAAACTGTTCTCGTATATTCACGAGCATAAGAAATCGCCCTTCCCAGGAGACTGACGGATGTTCGAATAGGTGAAACGCCGCGACGATATAAAAGCGGCTCTTCGCCAATTTCCAGGGGTATCATCCCATGGGGTTTGAAGAGCATGAGCGGAATCCAAACGGACCAGCGTTGGGGGGTTTGCCTTTAAGTTCTGAGTCGAAAGCGTGCCAGCTTTCCGGGAGTTCGGGTGGATCGAGGTCGTAGAGAGGGTAATCGTCGACGTAGGCAGAGTTGGGGATGATGGCGCAGAAGTGCGTAAGATGAGAGACGGCGGAGTGTAGGGCGAGTGATGCACTGGATAGCGAAACATGAACGACAAGAAGTATTCAACGAGACTTACCCAATCGACGGCACCATGAACTGCAACTCGTCATATTCGACGTCTTCCTCTGCCAGAGAATTATCTTCCAGGAGAGCGAGATCACGGCTGGAATCGTTATACCGGGCGACCATCTGCCTTTCCAGGTTTTCCCATTTCTCCGCATCCTCCTGTCCCTTGCCGCCGGCCTTGAACATCATAGTAAGCGTACTCCGCTGCTTTCTCGCCCGCCCAAAGCTCTACGTCCAGCTCACCATGTCGCGTCGCTGGATGAAGACGACCCCGGTATAGCTATCGTTCAACGATTTTGCAGTCGCCTTTTCGTTCAGGAGACACTCGATCAAGACTTATGTCTTGTTTGGGCAATCGTCGGCGATGTCGCCTGGGTAGTACGAAACGGGAGCGACGATGATTTGATTGAGGATATCGAGCAGACATCTCTTCTCTGTCGGCTTCCAGGTGACCACCATGTTGTCGTATGGGTTGGCGATCTTCTTCGCGCGTTCAATGACTTGCCAGATGAACCAATATCCGCTGACGACTGCTCGAGATCGTTGCAAATATCGCTCGCTGCTTGTTCAAAGTCGCGAAGGCCCTTAAGTATGCGTGAAGGAACTCTCCTTCTCGATAACCTTGGAGAGCTTCTGATCGATACGTTCGTATTCTGGAGAACCGAGAGCCGCCCGAGAGAGCTGGATTTCACGTAGGGATCGTTTTCGATATTCATTGTTTTGAGGACCGCAGATAATGCTGCGAGGTTCGCGGAAAAGGCGTCTTCGGACCGGATGTACCCTACGTGTTTGAAGACGGCGATGCACATACTGGGCGATCTCCTCATGATTACGGCGAGGTAGCCGAATTCCACTTTTGAAGTTACTCTCGACGGTCCTAGCATAACCGCTAGATTACGCGAAGAGTACAACAGAAGACAACTTACCTGAAGGCTTTCTCAACATTCCCAGCATCATCGGGCGTGCATTTTCCGCTGTCTTGTTTTCGGTAGAATTTGCAGGGATACTTGTCAACGGCGTGGTAGGCTTCGTCGAACACCAGGAGCGAAATGTCGCTGCCCATGAGAGTGTAGCCGTGGCGAAGGGCGTCAAGGAAGACTTGTGGCGTTGATATCATGATACGGTGTGTTCGCAAGACACGCTCCCACAGGGCGGCGTTCTTCTACTGGTCCAGCTCGTTGGTACCAGAGATGATCCTAACAGATACAGGGATGTCGAGCTTGATCGCGGGCTTCTTTTGCTCACACAGTGCGACAGCAGGGGAAAATAACCAGGACAGCTACGGCGGGGAGACCAATGAGCCACTGGGACTACGAAGTCTCGTTGAATGATACGCACCTTACATGGCTCCTTCTCCTTCTCGTGCTTCAACCTCAGAACAGCGATACTCGTCTTCCTGGACCAGTGAAGGCAGATTACGACGTCCCTGCGGAGGCTCTCCTCAAACAATTCAAGCAGGTATCCACGAGTGACCCGTTGGGGTATATGGGATAGAGGAGCGGTGTGAACTGAACGACCGCTGGCCCTTGCGTAGAGAGATAGCTCCGGACCTCCGTCGCAAATTGTGGGAGATGGAAAGTGTACTCTGGCATGCAATCGATGGAACCTTGGGTCGTTATGTATCTCAGGGTGTTTATTGTCGACAGCGAAGGTCAGATGGTTGGGCGATCGAAGCACAATGGGCCGTTGACGTCGAAGTCCGCAATCCAGTTTGAGGGCTGATTTTTGACTATCGAGACTCGAAGAGGTGGGGGGTACTTAATTCAATTCATCTTCGCCCAACGTTTGACTTGCACGCAGAAAGACTGAAGGTGGATAAGGATAAGGGCAACTCGTAGAAATTCAACGTGAAGCAGTGCGATGTCCCCCGAAGCAAATAGGCGTACATATGATAATTACCCTATATGGCAGTCGAACTTAATGTGCGAACCACTTTGACGTTTAAAGCGGGGGAAATATAGAGCAAGCTTCTTTGTGTCTTTTACAACTGGATATTGACGACATGTCTTAAAGTTATGTGCTGACCGAAGCTTACACGCTCAATTATTTCGTAGACGGCGTCTATTCCAAACATCATCTCCGACAATAAACCGCACCGATTCGCGAATTTAATGCCCAGGACTCGGCGTCCAGTAACAATGAAGAGTTCCGCTTCTGGCTATCGACATAATGAGCTGTGCTCTGGCAACTCGAGGATCCATTGCAGATGGACTCGTCATCAATAGGCCTAAAAAGGCTAATTAAAATCGTGGCTGAGGCGTTTCTTTGATCAGGGTCGCTTACCGTCTCCGCCTTCTGTGATAACGATTGGCCTTGACGCCCGAGAGGAACGTTCTCGGGTTGGCAAGAATCAAAATCGGTACTTCGTAGAGTGAAGGTCAGGATTTTCTATTAGCTTAGTGAATTTCCAGTAATTACGAATCGACAACGAATTGAACGCTCGGGAAAATGCAACTGCAGTCTAGATACGAAAACAAGCGCCAGCGCTCGTTTATCGAAAGAGGCAGTAGACATATAAAGTACGATAATTATATGCACGGGGATCACTGGCTAAATATATAGGTCCCTGATTGTCGCTACAGATCAGTACATACATATCACGAGTCCAAGATTTCATACCAACGACGTGAGTTATCAGGCGGGGAAGGTAGCCGATACGCAGGGTTGATCGCAACGTCCACCTCGAGCCCATCATCAGCCATGACCGCCCTCAGCGCGTCCAGCATCTCTGATACGCCACCGCCGCCAGATGGGTGCCCGTTGGTGTAGGCAAGCGCGAAATGCGTGATTGGAGAAGGCGTTGGCGATTGACAGTTTGATGCTGATGATCTCGAAGTGATAAAATCAGCGAAGAGCTGTGGGGAGAAAGGCGCAAAGAGTGGTGGGATTTCGGTGGAGAGGTCGAGCGTGAGGGTGTAGAGTTTTGGGAGGTACGCGTCGAGCGAGGAAAGAAACGTGGAATGGGCGAAGGAGAGGTAAGGTCCGATGTGGAGGGTTGTGATAGCCGGCGTCTGCGAGAGGAGTTTGGTCCAGTTGTGGACATGTACCTCTGTGCTGCACGACGAAATTCGGAGGAGGTGGAGATTCGGAAATTCGAGACCGACGAATAAAGTGTCAACGACACGTCCGTCTCGTTGGAGGTTATCGACGAGGGAGATCGTTAGGCGCCGTAAGTGCGAAAGAGTAAGTGGCATGATGACTTCCCCTGGCATCTTGTCTGTTCGCTCGTTTGTCTGACAATCGTCACCGCATAAAAAGAACGAGGCTTCTTGAAGATTGGTGCAAAGAGAGATTACGGTACGCCAAGAGGTAGGGCCAATATAACATTCGGAAATGAGATGGGTGAGTTGCGTCCACGGAAAGAGACGGGTTGGCGAGAAGTAATCTTGAAGATAATTACGAATGAAAAGTCGGCGAAGACGAGGCGCAGGAGGGAAAGAAGATGGGGGATGGGAGTTGGGAAGTCCTCGTTCGACAAATATTGCTAGAGATTCGGCGTTATAAAGCGCTTCCCGATGGTTGATGGATCGAATGCATTGCAGATCCTCGAGCTGCTCCGCCCTCAGCTCGATATTCCGCGCGTTGAGAATGCCCCTGGACGTCAAAAGCTGGTGAAGTGGTACGACGCCGACGTCCATGGCCGATCCAAACGAAGACGCCACGAAATCGAGCCGGACGCTCGTGGGGGTGTGTTGGCATCGCTCTAACCAATGATTAACAACGTCGACGGAAGGCTGTGATGGGCACCTGTCTCCGTCGTCCGATGCCGCTTGACTGATCCGGTGCTGGACGTTCCGCCATAAGACAGGCATTCCGAGGGCGATTGATCTCCATGATGAACAAATTCTGCATAGTAACAACGGGGCCTCGTTGATCGTGACGCGGGCGATTACCCTCGTATACGGATTTTCGGGGAGGCAGAGGACAAAAATGCGCCGGATGAGCTCTGGAGGGAGGTCGTGAATGTGGCGCCTAACTCGGAGTAAAACTTGTTTTGGGCGCCTGCCTGTCAAGCCCTGATGAATCGGTGAAACGTTAGATTTTTGCGCCGTATATTGCAGCGGATAGCGAGAACATACCATGGCGTGCGGTATCAACCCAAGGGCAAGGCAAGGAAGGTATCAAAATTGCTGGGCTTTATACCTCTCCGGTAGGTGATAAGCCACTGTGTTCTTGCGTTCAGATCGGTGCGTTGCAGTGTATGTCAGAGCTTCCCGAGGTTTAAATATGATCGTAAACTACCTATCATCGAGCTCGGCACGCCAGCAGGTCCCCGTGAATAACGTGCCCTGAGCGGATAATGCATGCCCGGAAGCTCACTCAAGGTGCGTTTCCCGAGAGGCGAGCGAGATTAACTTGTGAGATCTCTGAAGCCGCGATGGGGCCGCACTGAACAAGTGGATAATGGAAACCCGCGTGCCGCTCAGGGTCGGTCATCCCGTCATTTCTGTCCTTCCGCTCGGGATTTTTTTTTTCCAAGTTGTGCCCATCCCCGAGCCGACTGAGCTAGCAGCGTCTTTCGCAAATCGTCGAGTCTTTCGTGGGACGCAGTTCGCTTAGAAACAAGGATTTCCGGATATAGCAAGAAGCCCATAGTCGGCCTCTACGGTTATGCGCCACGAGGTTTCTGGAGGTCCCGTCCTCGGGTTTCAAGCTCTGTGAAGGTGTGCTGCTGCTGGTGTGTCTGTATTGCAATCGTAATTTTGTCACCTTGAACCCCGAATGTTGTCTTATGATGAGCTTCCTAAATCGACTTCCGTCAACTTGACTTCCAAAGATACACCACGGATGCGTCATGCGGTGATTGTGGGTCTACAGTACAACAGCCTTTTATTGCTTGATCATGATTTGAATGTTAGGCTACAAAAGAGGAGCGAAGAGATGCAAAAGCGCCGGAGCTGCATCAAGAGATAAAATTGACTTCCACCGTATTTGACTGCGTCCTCTCCCAGGTGTGTACTGCGATTTTAGAATATAAGAAGCCTTTTACCGTTTATTCTCGTCGAATACCCGCCGGTCGACAAGTCTGATCTTGACGAACCTTGGCAGCGTGACCTACCGTGCGAATATGTCTCGGCAATTTCCAGCCGCAGGTTGCTGACCGTTTTCCGGATTTCGTGGGCTTGCAAATGTCCACATCGACCATCGAGCTCAACCGCCTGCGGAGACCACCTCCACTTGCTTCAGTACGTTTCTTCACCGAAGAACAGCGGTCTCCAAACGACAATGGGTCTAGAGAGCACCTCGAAGCGCAGGCGCCGTTCGATGATGAATCGCTCGATATACATCCGCTGTGGAAACGACATCTCTACCAACTTCTCGAACAGCCTACGTCTTCGCGGGCGGCCTTCGTCATACATATGGCCATTACACTCCTCATCATCTTCTCAGCATTCGTGACGGTACTCGAGACAGTACCAGCTGTTCATTCGATCTCGACGAGGGTGTGGTTTGGGTTGGAGACGAGCCTCGTGGCGCTCTTCACGGTGGAATACATCGCTCGATGTATGGCGTGGAGTAATACGTGGACGAGCCTCTTCTACTGGGTATTCTGTGAGTTCACTTTCAGTGCTTTCGCGGTGTGCTCGAACCGCTTACGTAACTCGCTGCCCGATGCAGCGTTCTACGGAGTAATCGACTTGCTCTCGGTGCTACCATACTATCTAGAACTACTATTACAACAAGATACTGTGAGTATCGTTCAGAATGTGGTTCCCGCTCGCTCACTTTTCGCTAGAGTGTATATTTCCGATTTTCAATATTGCGCATGTTCCGTCTGCTGCGCGTCTTCCGCCCCTTCCGATATAATCACACAATTCTGCTGTACGTCATCTCGCCCCGGTACCTGATTTTTCTAATCCGATACGTGAAGAACTATCGAGGTTATGTACCTCTCCGTCCGACGCTCCCAACACGCCCTCCTCGCCATCGCTTTTTTCGTGATCATGATCCTGACGGTCTTCAGCACATTACTGTGCGTATCTCGTCTTCTTCTCACCCAGTTTTCTCTGATATCCCCGTCAGTTACTTTGCCGAACGCGGAACATGGGACGAGCTACTCGGGACGTTCATCAACACAGACGGAGACCCTTCTCAATTTTCAGTAAGCACGTCATGAGTCTTACACCGATTATGTTATTCATGCCTCGTTAGTCCATTCCCTCCGCAGCGTGGTTCGTCATCGTCAGTGAGTCCATCGACCCGCTCGCCGTTCGACGACACTGATCCGCTTCAGCTATTACGACCGTTGGATACGGCGAAATCACGCCTCGGTCGTTCCTTGGCCGACTCATCACCCTTCCGTTGCTCGTCTTCGGCCTCCTGCTTATTACCCTGCCGAGTTTCGTCCTCGGGCGCGAATTTAGTCTGGTGTGGGAGGCGATGACGAAAGATCGTGTAGGTCATCCGTCGTCTTTCGACACCCTCCACACTAAGCTAACATCTGAGCGTCCTCTAGGAAAATGAACCCAGCAGCACCATTTCGCCGTACCCGCCCATCTACTCAGCAACACGGCACGAACCTCCACCGCGCACGCCGAGGGACCTCTCGAATCTGAAGCTCGCCCAGAACCAGACGGAATTGAGTAGACAAATCCAGGAGCTTGCAGCAACGGTGGAGTCTCAAGGGAAATTGCTTCATAGACTGCTCACGAAGCTGGATGTCGACACGCATGTAGACCCGGAGGTGAAGTTGGTGGATACGCTGGGATAGCATTGCGTGTTCTTTGCCCGTTCTCGCGGTGCCTTGTCTATTTTACCAGATCTACTCTAATTGGGGTTTTCGGGTTGTATTAGAATATTATGGCCCTATTATATATTCGTCCAAAGACGAGCATTTGGTGCGAGGAGCCTCGCAGAGTCGACATGTCTAATTTCGCCCAATAGTGGGGAGTACGGAAGGTTGTTCGCTATACATGAAGATTACATCGCCGCCCGCCCTCTCAACTCATAGGGTATAAGCACTGCAATAATCGCAGCCACCAAGTAAATCGCGCCTGCGATGTATATCGGTACCGCGGTAGTGAGGTTGGCATAGAGGGCGATGACGGGAGCCTATTCAATCATCATCGAACGAAGTTATGAGTATGTCCTCTTCAACAAGTGTTTCCAAAGCTCACCAAGACACCGGAGATACTGTACGCAGTACCGACGATCCCTATGCCTGTCGCTCGACTCTTGGTAGGGAAGAGTTCTGGGGTCATAGTTTGCAAAGCAGGGTACATCATGTTGCTCGTGACGCTATTCGCGCAGTTCCAGAGGAGGAGGACTGTGGAGGAGCGAGCGCTCGTCGTGGCCAAGACGAATACTCCGGTCAACGCTTTCCTGTATGTCAGACAGGGCGAGTGTACGCGGTGCATTCGAGGGGTACGCACCGGTAGATATAGCTAAGGTTCTTCGTCGGCCCAGAAGGCGGCATTCAATCAGATACGCAGAGAATGAGGGGCCGGGAAGAGCAAAAATGCTGATAATAACTAGCTAAAGGTAGTGTTGGATATTAACCCTCCTGTCTGACGGTCTGAAGATAATGCAGGCGGACATACATTGCGATATGTGATGTATATGGATCCGTCTCCGAAGACCACTCCGCGTGTGGAAAGACTATTGAGCAAAATAAACCATGAGGAATACTTCGCATAAAAGGACACGGACTAGTAGGTGACGAAGGACATGTAAAGTGTGGTGGCGAGGCTCATCAAACCTATGACTGGCATTGGTGTAATTCCCTTAGAATAGAGCTTTAGAGACGTGCTCCAGATTGCGATCAACATAATCGTCGATCGAGCCAATGGGGGAGTCGCGAATAATGGTTTGATGCCAATCAAAATTCGTATTTTCTCCTTGATGACATTCCACATCCTACACCTACCAGGTGTCGTCCCAGCCTTCTCGTCTCCGTACTCCAAAGCCTTTAAGTCTTCAACTGTCAACCTCGATGTCTTACCGTTGAATTCTGCGACCCTGTGAACTACTTCTACTGCCTTTCTATCTCGCCCACGTCCCACAAGGTATTTTGGACTCTCGTGCAACGGGAAGACGAAAAATCGAACGGCCCACAGGACGAGCATGAGTCCTCCCATATTGAAGAGAAAATATCTCCAGCCTTTATTCTCAGAAGGTGCGCATGAGTGCAACGCATGGGTTGGTGTTTGGCACGAAAAATTGCTCATCAACGGCCATGCGACCTGCCATTGGCAGAGGCTGAACGAAGGATAACAAGACATGAGAGCCGGGAAGACGCACCAAAGTCACCACGAGTTGACCGATCGGGTAGCCCACCATTGTTGCCGTCAGAATATACTGGTGTGACGCGGGAAGGAATTCTGGGATTGTGGTTGTCAGGACCAGGAACGACGTCTATAAATAGATAAATGTGGCGCACCCAAGAAAATCGTCGTGTCCACCATCATACTGCCACTTGAGCCTAGAATCACTATTGCCAGGAGTGAGGATAAATAAATGTAGTTAGGCGAAAACCCAGAGGCTATCGAAAAGGTGGCCGAAAGCAAAAGGGTCACATTGAAGGGTATTCTGTCGCAACATGGGGTTTGAGTCGAAATTAAGTAGTAGTTACAAAGTAGTTATGGAAGATACCCACTTTCGACCCCACGTGTCCGCAGTGGGTCCCCAGAATGGCCCACCCACCAGGAGCCCGGTTTGTACGGCGAGAATAAGCATTGGTCCCTTGAAGTGGAATTCGTCTACGACGGATGGAAGGATCAGTCCCGGTGCCATCTACGTTCAAGAAACAAGTTAGCACACAGCGCCCACGCATGAGAATTGTGAGACTGACGATCCACACTCTGTCCCTAATCCGAAGATGCCTTTTAGGGAAAGGTTAAAAGGTCGAAGTCTCCACTTACGAGATTAGTCCAAACCCGGTGACGAAAGAGAGATACCTAATTCAATTGCTTTCAGTTACACGACATTCCGTCTATCAGAACGAACGGTCCTACCATTGATACCGCCCCATGCCAATCTCCTGAAGCGATTCGTTCAGTAAGTGAACCTTTCTGTTGTAGGTGGTGTCCCCGACGTTGGTGCCTTTCTCGATCTCCCCGTCGCTGTGCGGTGATGATGGCGTCGCATTTTCATCGAGTTGGGGGGTTAAACCCATGGCAGCTGTATTCTGTGCTATACGTAGCTCGGTTCGCGAGTCTCCTGACGAGAGGGTGACGCTGGTTTCTTCGTGTATCGCCTGTCTACTCATGCTAGATTTGTATCTCGCCGCTCAGAGCCATTAGTGGGGATTTTGGATGTCAAAATACTTTATTACGGGCATGCTTGATCGCGGCAAATAACTACAATGTAAATCAGGGATCACGATTGCTCTACATTTGCTATCTTTGACGTCAAAATCTGCTCGGGACGTAAAATCTGAATCCTTCTGGGCTCTCCTATCTGTCCCTTGCTCCATGAGGTGAATATTTGTCCTTGTGGAATCGAACTTGATTGCTCTCCGAACAACTACATCGATGCCCTTCCTCTCGATTCATAAGGAAGAAGTATCGCCATAACGGCAGCGACCAAGAAAATTGCACCTGCAATGTATATCGGCACTGCGGTAGCGAGGTTAGCATAGAGGGCGATGACTGGAGCCTGTTCAATTGTCGTCGAACGAAGTTATGAATATGTCATCTTACGCTTCCTCAAGAAATGTCTCCAATGCTTACCATGACGCCGGAGATCCGGTGCACAGCTGCGGCCATCGCGATCCCCGTCACGCGACTTCTGGTAGGAGAGAGCTCTGGGGTCATAGTTTGCAGGACGGAGAACGTCATGTTGGTCGTGAAGCCACACGCGCAGTTCCAGATGAGGAGTACTGTGGAGGAGCGTGCAGTCGTCGCGGCCAAGACGAATATTCCAGTAAGGGCTTTTCTAGTGTCAAATGGATCGAGGGAAGCCGTGCATTTGAAGGATACATACCGACGGAGATGGCTAAGGTTCTTCGTCGGCCCAGGGGACGACATTCGATGAGATACGCGGAGAATAAGGGGCCGGGGAGACCGATAACGCTTAGAATGACTAACTAGAAAGATGGTGCTCGATAAAGTGTCCAGCCGGATTATCAAAGATAGTACGGAAGACCAACATTTCGATATGTGACGTAGACAGATCCGTCTCCGAAGACCGCACCCCGGGTGGAAAGACTGTTGATACCTGGAATTAATATCCAATATTTGAGGTAGAAGGTCACTCACTAGTAGGTGACGAAGGAGCTGTAAAGCGTATTGGCGAGACCGATCAAACCTACGAATGGAATCTCTTCAAATGACTTCGACTTTGGAATGGAAATTTATACACATACCCCAGATCGCGATTAACATCGTCGTCGATCGAGCTAGTGTAGGAGTCTCGAATAATGGTTTAATGTGTGTACCGTCGAACATTCTTGTTTTTTCTTTGATGACTTTCCACCTGCGCCTGGCGGGTGTGGTCGCAGCCTTCTCACCTCCATAGTCAAAAGCCCTCAGATCGTCGACCGTCAACGTCGACACCGTACCATTGAATTCCGCGACCCTGTGAACAACTTCTACTGCCTCTTTGTCGCGCCCACGCCCCACAAGGAACTTTGGACTCTCGTGCAATGTGAAGGCGAAAAATCGAATGCCCCACAGGACGAGCACGAGACCGCCCATGGTGAAGAGAAAGTATCTCCAGCCTTGATTGTCCGATTTTATGCATGACTTCAACGCATGGGTTGATGTTTGGCACGAAAAATTGCTCATCAACGGCCAAGCTACCTGCCGTTCCAAGAGAAGTCGCAACAGGGCTGAACAAGGAGAGCATGGAACACGCACCAAACTCCCGACGAGTTGTCCGATCTGAAAGCTCACTGATATTGCCGTTAGGATATAATGATGCGATGCGGGAAGGAATTCTGGGATCGTGACGGACTTTTGTCAGGGACAGAAGCAATTTCTATAAATAGATGGATGTGGCGCACCGAAGTAGATTGCTGTGTCCACCAACAAATTGCCACCTGCGCCTAGAGCCACCACTGCCATAAGTGAGGATAAGTAAATGTAGTTCGGCGAGAATCCAGCAGCGACAGAAAATATTCTGGAAATCAACAGAGTCGTATTGAAGGGAATTCTACGGTAATGTGAGATTTCATTCGAAATTGAGTGATACTTATCGAAGATACCAACTTTCGACCCCACATGTCCGCAGCGAGACCCCAAATGCACCCACCCACCAGGAGCCCGATTTGAACGCCAACAAGGAGCATGGGTCCTTTGAAACGGAATTCGTTTACGACAGATGGAAGAATCAGTCCCGGTAACAGCTAGGTTTAGAAAACAAGGGTAGCCCGAAGCGTCCATGCCTGAGAATGGTGAGACTGACATTCCACACTCTGTCCCTACTCCGAAGATGTTTGTTAGGGGTAGGTCAAAAGGTCGAAGTCTCCACTTACGAGAAGAATCCGAACCCCGCGATGACGGAGAGATACCTAATTCGATTGCTTTCTGCATGACATTCAGTTTGAAGGGACGAAAAATACTACCATTGATACCGGCCCATACCGATTTGCTGGATCGATTCGTTCAGCAAATGGGCCTTTCTGTTGTAGGTGGTGTCCCCAGCGTCGATGCCGTCCTCGACCTCCGAGTGCCAGGCGCTGTTTGGTGGTGATGTCGCCCCACTTTCATCGCGTGCGGAGGTGTGCGCGGTTGTTAAGTCCATGAGACCTGTATTGTGCGCTATCCGTAAGCCGAGTTCAGAAGTTTAACGTTTAACGCCAAAAGGGTGACGCTGGGTTCTTGGTGCTTCGACTCTCATTTCATGCCGTCTTTATATCTCGCCTCTCAGAACTGGTATGGATTTAATATATCAAGAGCACTTGAGACTTGGAGGCTCGATAGTGGCCCGCAATCCGGCTCTCTTTTCTCCTTCCACTCCGGCGTGGACATGTTTCAGCCCTTGACACTCCCTGCGATCGAGTACAAGCCCCAAGAGTGACTCTCTACAGAAAGGATCTCGATTACTCTACATTTGTTCGGACGTAAAGCTTGAATTCTTCTGGACTCTACGATCCGTTCCTTGCTTCGCAAAAGCCTATCAGAGCTATTTGTAACTCCACGATACGAGGGAGTTTACGCTTCAAGGTCCCGAAGGTCGCAACGCAGATCAGAAAGATATAAGGGATTAACAACGTGAGGAAATAGGATATTAACTGGAATTTTGGAACGGGAAATCCGCTTAGTTCATAATCTTTACATCGACGCTTTGCCTCTCGACTCGTAAGGAAGTAAGAGCGCGACAAACCCGGCGACCAGGAAAATGGCGCCTGCGATGAAGATCGGCACCGAGGTGCTGATATCAGCATACAACGCGATGATAGGGGCCTTCGAATCCAATTCATTTATAGCGTTAGCGCTCCATCTACTGAAAGCGTCTGTAGAACTAACCATGATGCCAAATATGCGATTCGCTGTGGCGGTTATCGCGTTCCCGGTGCCTCTATCCTTCGTTGGGAATAGCTCGGGGGTGATGGCGTAGAGCACCCCGTACATGACATTGCTCGTGAAACTGTATGCACAATTCCAGCCGAGGAGTGCGTTGGAGGTTCGTGCGGTCGTCGATACGAGAATAAAGACCCCCGTCAGGACTAGATCCCCCTTTAGTGAATGCTATCGAGCGAGAAATGAGACGCACTCGTTGATATCGCTAACGTCCCTCTTCGGCCTAACAGCGGTAATTCGACCATATACCCGGCCAAGAGGGCTCCAGGAACGCCAATCACGCTGAGTATGACTTGCTAAAGGCGGTTGGAGGTCAGCTCCTGCTCGAGAAAGGAAGAAAAGAACACACATTGCGGTACGTGATATAAGTAGATCCGTCACCGAAGTCTGCTCCGCGGGTTTCAAGACTGTCACATTCAATTGGCGAATGGGAGAGGGCGGAGAGAGGGAGAGAAATCATGCGTACTAGTAAGTGACAAAAGCGTTGTACCTGCCACGGCGGCCATTAATGCTCTTTCGAATAATTTATACGTCGGGACGTACAGCGGAAATGCAAGTCCAATCAGCGCTATAAGATCTACTCAGAGCCTTTCATTTCCGGAAATTCAAGAATGCATACCCCAGAGGACGATCAACAAACTAGTCGACCAGGCGAGCTTTCGTGTCGCAAAAAGCGGCTTAACGTGATTCGTATCGAAGATGGCCATCTTCGCCTTCACTGTATCCAACGCGGTCTGTCCAGAACGGACCTTTTCTTTTTCGCTTTTTCCGTACGTTCCAAGCGCAGTCAGATCCTCCACGCTCAAAGTCGACTCTTTGCCATTATGCTTTGCGACTTTATGGACGACGTCTACCGCCTTCTCATCTCGCCCACGACCCATGAGGTACTTCGGGCTCTCGTAGAGCGTGAAGACAAAGAATCGAATGCCCCAGAGAAGGAGCATGAGCCCGCCCATAGTGTACAGGAAGTAACGCCAACCTTGGTTCTCTGATCGAGGGCAAGATGTATTAGAGGCGTTGACAGTTGGGCAGGAGAAATTTCCGATCAGAGGCCAGGCAACCTATTCCTCGAATATGAGAGGTCGAAGATAGTTGGAAACAGGATGAGGACTCACGAGGCTGCCTATAAGTTGGCCAAAGGCCCACCAAATCGAGAGGACTGTCAGGAGGTATTGGTGGGTCGCAGGGACAAATTCTGGAATTGTTTCCGAGATCGATAGAATCAGACAACAACGTCTCGGGGGGAGCAATCTTAAACAAATGAAAGAGTGTGGCGCACCTAGGAAGATCGCCGAGTCGACCGGTAAGTTACCGCCAACACCGACGGACCACACAGATGCAAGTGATGTTAACACAACGAAATTCGGAGAAGCACCAGCGGCGACAGCGAATACACCGACGATGAAAAGCGTTATGTTGAATGAAATTCTTCGTTCAACGATTCAACTAAAGTTTCGACCAAGGTAGCTTCTGACACTGACCTTCGGCCCCAGAGGTCGGCCCCTACGCCCCAAAATGCTGCTCCAACTAATAGCCCGATGTTTTGACCGAGTTTGATAAACGGTCCGTCAAACTGGAATTCGTTTACGACAGGTGGCAGAATCAACCCAGTGACGATCTATCACGCCCCGACCTATCAGTGAATACTTGAAGTCAGACAGACTAAAACACCCACTGGCCAAAGATTGTCTCTAAGAATTTACGGAATTAAATTCAGGCAAGCAAGGGGGAGAATAGCCGCTCACGCAAAGTATCCAAATCCAGTAACGATGAACAGCCCCCTGTCGAGCCCATTCAGTCCGATAATGTCCCAGCCTAGCGAACTACGAACATACCATTGATACCGACCCATTCCAACTTCTTGAATCGCCATATTCAACAAATGCGCCTTCTTCTGGTAAGTGGCATCCCCAACGTCGATATCGTCCTCTATCGGGGCGGTGGCGCTGATGGAGTCGACCGTCTTCTTCTCATCCTCGCCATACGGCGCCGCTGCTGCTTCTGAGCTCATATCGCCCTTTGTTCCGCCGTACATAGCGCTCCTTCAGTCGTCGGATGTTCCAGAATGGTCCAACACGAAAGATGGACGTGTTGGTCAGAGTGAAAGGAGGGGGGAACTCGAAACGAAGCTAGACGTCTCTAGCTGCTTCCCGAACGTAAACCCCACCTTTATAATGGCCTTATCAGCCACGCCGATGGTGCAATCGCGGCGCTCACACGAATGGGGCTGGAGACCACATCAAGAACACTTCTTAGACCTCGTGTCTGTGACTGTGGGAGCGGGGCCTATGGGGCGTCGTCGTAGACTTCTCTATTTTTGTTGGGCCGAAATTGAACTGGACTTGAATGTTTCTGAAATGCCGTTGGAGGCGGAGTTTTCGTTCGGGGGTAACTGAGTAGTGGCGAAAGTTCCTCAGCGGCTGGTACCATTGGTTCTGATTGGTAGGCTCTCTATCTGCCTCGTAGTTGACATGAAAATAACGTCAGACAGAAGGAGAGAAGAGACGCATGAAATCAGGCCCGCGCTACTTCTGAACTCCTCAACCGTTAGCCCATCTGTCTCATGACGGCAGCGATTGATGGACAAAGAGCCTTTCACCAGAATGAAGTGAAGGCTACTTATATCCGAGCACCGAATGCGGGCCAGCAAAGCAGTAGCCTGGTTCGCGACGGTAAGCATGGACACTAGCTGCAGATAGGGCGAAGAACAACCTACCCCATCGTTTGGTTGTTCATAGCGTGTACGTCCAATTCCCTGGTTATCGGGTGCGCGAAGGGGCGTTTGGAAGACCTCGGCTTCGTTCGAGGGCACTGTACGAGTCGCGCAAGTGATTGAAGATCAAGAGTTGGAAAACCGTCAGTGGCGTCGTTTGGGAGTCGGATGCGAAGAGCTTGATAACCATTCAAACACAACGAATTTGGGACCGAACCTAAAACCCGAATTCAGAATTTAAGCTCGCGCTTCGTGGGGCTATTAAGATAGAAAACCCGAACACACACCATATTGGAAACTTATAGTCGGAAATGACTTGAGTAGTCGTAGCGAATGTCGTGTAACACGCCCACTTAGACCATGTTGTCGCTATACGGGTACACAGCGGCCTGCTTCACGTACGGGACGTTGGTGACAAAGAAGCAGAAACATTGCGAATCACACGAAAGCGAGAAAAGAAAACGATCAATACCATATCCCATTACGAAAAAATACAAGAAAGGACGAATTAATCCACCTTCCGAGACCATTTTCTCCCTCCTGCGGACGATGGTGTGCGTGGTGGAGGCGTGGCGACACGGTGACCCGCTGGGCCCGGGCTACCCGTAGCTCTCGTTGCAGTGGGTTGATAGATCGGCGGTTGGCCTTGTGCCTCCCACGCCGCTGGGGGGTAGGCAGGCACAGGCGAGGCTCTTTCCTTTTCCTTGTATTCCGAACGCTCGCGGAGCCCAAACTCGTCCTTGACGTCGCCTACTTGACCCCAGTACATCCAGAGTTGCGCACCGAGCACGAGGTTGAGTAGAAGCGCGAGGGCGAACCCTGCTGCGACCAGCGAGTCGCCGACTTCGGTCGCGGTGGTGAAGAGTCGGGCAAGGCACCCTGCGATTTGGCTGATGACGGCGAAGGCGGAGAGCTGCCCCGTACTTTGTGCCCGAGCGTTTTGTCGGATTTGCGGTAGTTTGGAGAATAACGACAATGGAAGAGTCGTCACTTGGAGAAGAGCGATTGTGGAGATGGGAAGCGTGTATAACGCAAACGCCGTTGCGAGAGTGAAGAGAGACGCTACGGCGAGCTGTTGAGTCTTGCCTCCTTGGCGTTGTGTGAGAGCTCCGCGAACCGGCGCGTAGTAGATGATAAGAAGGGTGATGATAGTGTTTTGGAGGGTCAAGAACAGGTTTTCGCCGTACGTGGAAAAGGGAAACTGGTGTCGGAAGGAATATGCGAGCGTTATGGCGTATGAGAGCGTTTCTAGTATGTACGCTGGTAAAGATAGACCGCGAGCTGACTTCGCGTTGACGACTGGAGGAGTTTCGAAATTCGTCAGTTGGGGGTCGAGAAATTTAAGAAAGGAGACGCACTGAGGAGAATTTGGGGTACTTTCATGATGGACCCGCCCACGACAATCCCGATACCCAGTCCTTTAGAGAGCGAATATTTTAGGCATTTCACGTCGGTTATGTCGAGGTTTTCGACCAGTGACGTGTAGCATTCCTGCGGGGAAGATTACATTGTTGAGAAGAACGTTACGTGTAGTCAAATAACATACCTTGCCCACTATTGAGATTCCGAGGTCCTTTATGAACCAAGGAAGATTTTGCGTGATTGCGGTCATGATGGTGGAAGGCAAAGGAGGAGAAACGATGAACCATGGAGTCACGCAGCGTGACAAGAGTGGCCTCTTCTTCTGCGACAACGACAACGACGACCACGAACATCGAATATCCTAGCCATGGCGTCAAATAAGCCCAATAAGTTGGCATTCTTGTCGATGCCTGCACCGGCGTCGTACGTTGCTGGTCTTGGTCGAGGGTAAGTGAATACCAAGTTGAGAAATCGGCGATCTGCTCAACTTTTTTGTAGCGCTTCTGGTTTCACTACTCGTTCAGATATCGGTCCTGCGAGGGAAGGACCCTCTGCGGAGGTCGTTGCGTACGCCATTTTTTTTATCTTATTGGTGCCTTGAGCCTAACTCTTCCCCAGGGAAGCCCAAGCACGTCGAGGCGAAGAGCCTGACGTCGACCCGGCCCAATTCCAAGACCCAGATAACGAATACGGCCTTTTCGCGGGGACAACCTACGAGCAAGATGACGAAGAAGCGGACAAGATCTACGAACAAGTTGACGAGGCTATGGATTCGCGGAGACGTGCTAGGAGGTGTGTTCGATGGTTAGTCTCCTTCACCCTTCTTGTTCAGCTAACTTCATCGTACTCTTTTCCTTCCAGAGAGGCGGCAGAGAGAGCTCAAATGCAGAAGCTGCGTGCCGAACGGCCGAAGATCCAGCAACAATTCGCGGATTTGAAGCGAGGGCTGTCGGTGGTAACAGACGAAGAATGGGAGAACCTACCTGAGGTCGGGAATCTGACGAGGAAGAAGAGGAAGAGGGAGGAGAGGAGCTTTGTCGTCCCAGACAGCGTTATCGTTGGAGACCGGGGCAAGAACGAGTACGACAACGCTCTGGATCCGAGGCAGCAGCAGGTACGTCGTTGATCTTTCTTTGTCTTTCTTTCTTAACGAGCCTTCTAGGCTGGAGGCTTCGAAACACCAGCCGACTCAGGAGCTCTCACCAACCTCGTTGAAATAGGTCAAGCTAGAGATAAGATTCTGTCGCTCAAACTCGACCAAGTGCGTAATATTCTTTTTGATGTTTCATGAGTCATGTTGACGTTGATACAGATGTCTGGCATATCCAGCACCTCCGGCACCGCAACCTCCGTCGATCCTAAAGGCTACCTCACCTCTCTCGACAGTGTCATCATCAAATCAGATGCAGAGATCGGCGACATCAAACGGGCGAGAATGCTCTTCGATTCGCTTGTCAAGTCCAACCCAAAACACTCTCCAGGTTGGATCGCGGCGGCGTGTTTGGAAGAGCATGCTGGGAAGATGGTCGCCGCGAGGAAAATCATCAAGCAGGGCTGCGAGATGTGTCCGAAAAACGAGGACGTGTGGATCGAGGCGGCAAGGCTTCATGTGAGTTCTTCCTTCTCATTTTTCCGCTCCTGTGGATTCCAATTGAACCGATTCTCAGAATAATGAAGATGCGAAAGTTATACTCGCGAATGCGGTCCAACATGTCGGGCAAAGCGTCAACATATGGCTGAAGGCTGGCGACCTCGAGCATGACGTAAAGGCGAAGAAACGAGTTCTTCGTAAAGGTAAGTTTTCGATGGCCCTGCTAACTACGGTTTACATGTTCAACGTATCCTTCCCAGCTCTCGAACACATTCCCAACTCCGTCCGCCTCTGGAAAGAAACCGTCAATCTCGAATCATCTGCAGTTGATGCCCGAATCCTCCTATCCCGTGCTGTCGAAGTGATACCCCACTCCGTTGAGCTCTGGCTCGCCCTCGCTCGGCTTGAAACACCGGACAAAGCCAAAGCCGTCCTGAACAAAGCCCGCAAATCCGTCCCTACCTCACACGAGATCTGGATCGCCGCCGGCCGTCTGCTCGAGCAAGAAGCATCTTCACCCTCCAAAACGCCCGAGCAGCGAAACAAAGAGTTGGACCTCGTTGATAAGACGATCGAGGCTGGAGTGCGCGAGCTGCGGAAGCACCAGGTCATGCTGACGCGCGAGCAATGGCTGAAGGAGGCGGAGAAGTGCGAGAGTGAGGGTAGCCCCAGGACATGTGAGGCCATCGTGAAAGCAACGGTGGCGATGGAGATCGAGGAGGAGGATCGACTCGACACCTGGGTTGGAGATGCAGAGAGCGCCGAAGCACGGGGTATGGTGGGCACGGCGCGGGCGGTGCTGGCCTACGCGTTGAAAGTCTACCCTGACCGAAGAAGCTTGTGGCGGCGTGCCGCCGAACTAGAGAAGGCCCATGGGACTACAGAAAGTCTTGACGCGATCCTCTCGCGGGCGGTGGTGCACTGCCCCCAGGCGGAAGTATTGTGGTTGATGTCGGCAAAGGAGAAGTGGTTGGCTGGAGACGTACCGGCGGCGAGGCAAGTACTCGAGCAGGCCTTCGTTGCGAACCCGGAGAGCGAGCAGATTTGGCTAGCTGCTGTCAAGCTCGAGGCGGAGAATGGGGAATTTGCAGTGGCAAGGCAGCTGCTAGTACGTGCGAGGACGGTCGCGGACACCGAGAGGGTGAGTTTTTCGTTCATCTCCATCGTTTGCTCTGTATCTTGATGATCTCTCTCCTAGATCTGGATGAAGTCCGCCGTGTTCGAACGCCAGCAGGGCCAACTCTCGGCTGCGTTAGAGACGCTTGAAACAGCGCTGAAGAAATTCCCGAAATTTGCGAAGCTTTACATGATTCAAGGTCAAATCCACCAATCTATGGGTAACATCGCCCTTGCACGAGCCTCCTTCGGTGCCGGCCTCAAATCATGTCCGAAGGAGCCCTCCCTCTGGACACTCGCATCGCGGCTGGAGGAAGCAGACGGTAAAAGCATTCGTGCTCGTGCCCTCCTGGAGAAGGCCCGACTCGTCAACCCCGCCAACGAACATCTTTGGGCCGAATCCATCGGAGTGGAAGAGCGGTCCGGTGGTGCCGCCCAAGCCAAGGCCATGCTTTCTCGTGCGTTGCAAGAGTGCCCCGCGTCGGGTGTCCTATGGTCGATGGCGTTGTGGGCGGAGCCTCGAGCTTCACGGAAGACCAAGTCCGTCGATGCCCTCCGAAAGACGAAGGACAATCCTTTCGTCGTGTGCACCGTCGCTCGTGTTCTATGGGCAGATCGGGCTGTCGAACGAGCCCGAGACTGGTTCGGACGTGCGACGGCAACCGATCCTGACCTAGGCGACATATGGGCATGGTGGCTGAAGTTCGAGAGGCAGCACGGGACGGAAGAGCACAGGGAGGTAGTTAGGACCAAGTGCATCGCTGCGGACCCACATCATTCTCCTGTCTGGCAGAGTGTGACGAAGGACGTGGCGAACGTGGCCAAGAGCACCAGGGAGATTTTGGAGATCGTTGCGGATCGTCTCCAATAGAGTGTCGATGTCCATGTAACGTGTATCGTACCTGAGGTTTGGGTGATGTAAATCTATAATACGAGGACGTTGTGTACTGATACTTTCCTTCGATCTGGACGGGTGGCCCGTTCCGTAACGAGGACTTCGGCGGGCACAACTCGCTTCGTACAAAAAGAGTGTTTAGCGATTCATACGCCTGGTCGAGCGCTGAAATTCATTCATTTATTTAAAGTTGAAAGACTACGTGAAAAGACGTGATGTACGAAGAAGTTTAAACCATATGATGAGAGAGAAGAAAAACGGAAAGACACCGTCCGGGCGAGCACACGACTTTTCACCCACAATCGTTCTAGACAGGAGTCGTGGAGAGCAACCCTAGCATCCCAATCGAAATTAGATGCATTGGAAGTACCAGTCGTTCTGCCTCTGGCAAGTGCTTCCGGCCGCACAAGTGGTTCCTCCAGTCCACTGTAAATATAATAATGAGCGCTTATTCAAGGATGAAACTGGTCGGTACTTACGCCAATTCCTCCGCACTAAAGAGAGAAAGGCGATAGTTAATCATTTTACCGCGGGTTCTAGGGAAAATGTAGTGCTTACCTGACCCCACTTGGGAATAGCGGGTGCCTGAGGAGCGGGCGGTTGAGTCGGAACGGGCGCCACGGTGGTAGGAGCGGGAGGTGCGACCGTCCCAGGAAGGGGAGGCGAAGTTGGTTGAGTACCTCCGATGCCACCAGTAGTCGACACCGCGTCGCAACTCGCCGGCATCGTAGCCTGCGCGGGTCCGTTTTGGATGGGGTTGCATCCAGGGAGTGCGGGGAGGTCTGAGATATTCGGTAAGTAATAGACTAAATGGGATATTTGAGCGTTGCTTACATCCGCTGGTCCTCTCGTTCACGGCCTCGGGCTGAGTGCAGCGGTTGATAGTTGCGTCGTTGACGATGGTGAGTGCCCTACATCCCTCAGGGGCACCGCCCAGGTCCGTGCACTGGTCCATCGCGCGCTGGAGTGAATCGCCTTCCCAGCCGAAGACGTAGTCAGCGTGTTGTCCGAAGCCGGTGCTGCAGAAGGAAAGAAAGCTCAGGTGAATAGAGAGCTGTAATGGCTTTCAAATTGAAGGCTTACGGGTCACCCATGGAGAATACGAAGGGCTGGCTGCCGTCGGTAGGCCACATGTTGTTAAACGGCCTGGTGTCCCAGACAATCTCCAAGAAGAGCAAAGGAAGGCGGATGGGGTGAGAAGCTGGGCAGCCACCAGCCATCCAGAAGAGACCATCGCGAGGAATAGCACCAGTCGGCCAGGCTACGTGGCTCTGAGATAAATGTAAGCTCCTTGAATTCACGCTAATCACAGATTAAACAATACGTACGGCGTGGTCCGGAGTGTCAATGTTGACGCCATCCCAGCATCTAATAGTTTGCTATGAGCAAAGGATGATAGTCAAGAAGTAAATTTACGAACGATGGGAAGAAGATGTTCGAGCGGATACCACCGGCACACGCCCCTTTGGGAAGGTCGATGGTATCGAGGGGGCCGGTACCGGGGTGAAGCCATTGGGGGTCGCTTTGGAAGTTGGCGCCGAAGCAGCGGAAAGTGAGCGACCTGGCCTCAAAGCTGTTCGGGTCGACGTTCTTCTGGCGGATCATGGGGTTCCCGACGATCATGCGGAATCCCTAAGATCATTGAAATAAAGAGCGTGCTTCAGACGTGAAGAGAACTTTTATACCTTCTTGAACGCGGTGACCCTCTGGTTGTTCATAGGCTGGATGTAGTAGACAGTCATGCCGCCGTTCGGAGAACCGATGAACTGGTTAGCCATTTGAGGGACCTAAAAGAAGGGTATTGATTAGAGCGGCGCGGCCGATGAAAAGGCGGCGAGAGCGTACCCGAATATAACTGCCGTTGGGGTGCTTGAAGAAAAGCACAGCGGTCCAGTAGTTGGACAAATCCTCCTTGAATCTGCAAGTCGTGCAAGTCGACAGGCTTGGTAGATCAAGGTCGGGGTCCATGGAGAGATTGAAGCTTTAATCCCAAGATTCAGTGACGCCCTATGAGAGAACAGGTGAAAACGTACGCATTCTACGAGCGAGAAAATGGGCACAACGTCAGCAACGAACACGAACCGACGAGCTTGGGGAACATCATACTCCTCCAACGATCTGGTGCAAGTGCGGAGAGACCTGGCCGGGCGTCACCAAGCTGAAGTAAAGCGTGAGAAGCGCCCAACGCAGCACGAGACAGGGCGTACGGGTCGAAGCGCTGAGTGACCAGCTGGGAGCAAGCGAAGCGCAGGAGCGCCTGAGCGTACGGAACGGCGAAGGCGAGGGAGAGGAGAATTCCCCACATAGCTGAAGAGGTCGGGCACAAACGAGAAACGACGAGGAAAGAGGGAAACCCCATTGTATCCTTTAAATACACCTACGCATGAAGCACGTCGAAGTCCTGGATTATCCCTCGGGGAAGACTCTGTGGAAGCAAAATAGCCGTAATTCGTCCGCGATTGGTTATCGTTGGCCGTGTTTGAGTGTATGCGATACCCCACAAATGGACCCCTGCTGAGACCTTCCTCGAAGCGGTACGCAAGGACGCGAAAATGGCGCGGGTCGCCTCCGCAGTTCAACCGGGTGCATTCAGTCCGTATTGGGGCGTCGACCGAGGTTCAGGAAAAAAGGTTCGTCCATCGTATCCTTCCTTCCTCTTTTTGACTCGGCCAAGGCATCAGGAGCCTATAGAAGGGAAATCCTATTCTTCGAAGGCTGTTTAGACATTGCCAAGATATCAACGAGGTTCGTCTCGATTCTAGTGTCTCTCGCGATGTCATACATCTCACCGTGCAATTGAATTCTGATGTCTTTCTTCCGATATTTTGTCACTTTCACACCTACACAAGGTCCAAGGTTTCGCGCACTTGTAGCTTCGTCCGACCATCGCTTACTCCACAACGGAATTTGGCTTTAGATGCGGGGGATTACGAGCCACTTACGTTGAACCGGACCGTCGAATAATTCTTCTCGAAATTCATAAGTCGCTCAAAAAATGAAATAGTACTTGGACTCCGTAGATAACGAAGGTTCATAGTTTTCTATTGGAACCGAATACAGTATACGATCCAATATTACCTTACCTTGACAAAACAGGAGTTTAAAACTATTTCGCGACAAAAAAGCGATCGTGCTTTTAAAAAAAACGGCAGTCAACGAACTCCTTAGATAGTAGAACTGTTGTCGATCTTATGCCGTATCTCCAAGCAAATCGACAAGACCACGGGACTAGCAGGAGAGGGGCTACTAAGTGAGGGCGCAAATCAATTACCAACCCTTGGACGGTCAGATGCTCGCAGAAATTCGTTACCTTGAAGTCCCCTACTTAAAGTTTCGGGGTCAATGAAAAGGTTATGTGAACAAGACTGAAGTTGTCTTGCACCAAAGACCCCGGACTGAATAGCGCCTGGTGAGAAGGTGGTCGAAACTCAAACATCACCTAAAGCGGCTAGAAAAGAAGGAATTCGAGGAGCGGCGAAGCTATAGCACCCCAGTTGTGCCTCGTAATTATGTAGCTGCATTCGAGCGCTTATAGGCTTGGCTTCGAGAGTGTTACGGATGCTGGGTTACTTCCAATGCTCGAAATACCCAAGTCCTTCATGATGCCATTACTCAGCCTCTCCTCGGAGAATATCACTGGCGAGCCTCTCACTAGAGCTTCGAAATGCGGAAAAAGCGCGGAGAGGAGGATACTAGCTGTGCATTCGAGGCGGTCTATGATATCATGCAGTGTCTAAGCCTTGTGGACCGTCAAGTTGGAAGGTCCCGAGTACACCCCAACTTGATACGACGCACATGCCTACTCTTACTAAAACACCAATCGGATCTTACAGCAATGGAAATAGATCCTCCCCTACACGTTGGCTCCGGTTGGACAGTGGACTAGCACACGGAGACCGAGTGAACGAGTAGAAGGCTCACCGAGAACTCGTAAGCTGAATGACGGGGAAAGAACACGGAACTTAGTAAGGAACCTTTTGCTAGAACTTAGTATGCAGGATTTATTGACTCTTCATTCCCTTGTCTTCGCCTCTTGTCTCTGGAGTATCGACGGAACTCGTCTTCAGCGAACTCACATCGGCGACACGCAGTACATTCGCGGAAGTCGAGGATTCGCCAGGTGAGTGTTGCCTCATTAGACGCCATCTATGACTCTGACTTACTGAGGTGTAATAGCGGTTGACGACAAGCTTGGGTTGAGAAGGGGAGTCAGCGACAAGGGCCGTGGACATAAATATGAGGCGGTGATACCATAAATGATATGTGTCGGAACATTCTCTTGGCTTCTGATCAGGCGCCTCGGTCATTCTATTTTTAAACTTTGAGGCGTCGGCCAGAGACTCGTAGGGAGCGAACCAAGATGGCCGTTGATATATTCACTCGACAACTGTCGAAAATAAGACGTCCATAGAGAGCATCGAGGCGGTCGCGGATGCAATTAAGTACGAAATTGGTACTTCGGGCAACGCCGAAGCGAGTGGCGCATGTTGTGTCTGTCGTATCGATGACAAGCTCAAGTACAGGAATCGCATGGACGATTATTTGCGCGTATATTCGAGATGAGATTCCGTTCAACTCAGCTAAAAACACTAACCTGCGAGTCGCGTCCTCACCTGTCATCGTTGTTCATGTCGGGTAAAGGAAGCCAAATGTTTGCACAGGAGCTTCGGTGAGTAACATTTGACCGGTATAATTCTGGAAATTTCTTAATGTATAGATACAGCTGGTAATATGAACGAAAATAAGGGTAAAGGAGCGTGTGGCCTCGTAGGAGAGTCGAAATATACAAAGCATCTATCCCCCTTTTGGTAGGGTTCGATCTGTCCACTTGGAAGCGCTCACATAACGCAAGTGCTGAATGTAAGCTTTATGTATCCCTTTTACGAATTAGAGCTAACGATCATTTATTTCCGCCTTCGCGAACAAATTCGAACCTTCGCATTCTTCATTGATCGCTAATACAATTAGTTCCCTTCTTTGAACTTGGGCGCTAAGTTGACGCAGGAGCGTACAGATTGATTGAGAGCTGTCAATAAACTTCCTCATTATAACTTTTATCCCTCACTGCCGCGGTTGAGACTTCCAGGAAACGAGCTTTCAAATCGAAAGTAATAGGGGGGCACCATATTCGTCATAATGCCTCACATATTCCTGGTAATGCTGGGAAGGTGAAAGGTGACTTATTACCTCCAAACAACTATGGTGTGCACCCAGCCTGCGTAGCCGGGTTCTCGACTCGGTGACGATGTCCTAACCCCCTGAAATCGGCCTGAAAAAGATGTCAAAGACCGCGACCGCAGCCATGATAAGGGGGCGATTGGCGACAAACAGCCTATCCCCGAGAAACAATTTCTTCCGGGCTTCGAGCATCAACTTGGAAGGTAAATCTGGAGTAGAGGCGCCGTCTTTCAATTGAGAGAAAGGGCTTGGCGTAAGGCGGACCGGCAAACGCCGCAGGAGGCCAAACATCTGATCAAAACAAATCACCGAGAACTTCGAGTTCGCGTCACTCTCTTCCATTTTATTTCGTCGTCGAGCTTGTCTTGCTTGTCGCTTAATTCACCCATCTTCCTCATGCGCCTACCTCGAGTCCGAAGCCCTTCCGAAACAAGGCCTAGGTGCATTATCAATTGCGCAAGATGCTATTGGCAGACGATGGACGCCTCTCGACCCCGATAATGAACCGTCGCGGATTAGTTTAGAGCTCCAGCTCTCCAGGGATTCATAAAGGAGACGAGGCGCCTCTTACGTGGCGATCCACTACCCCACAGGATGTTTTCCGTTCTCGCGTGGGCTCTCGGGCCCGTGCTGTTAGGTGAGTAAGAACCAACGAAGTCGGTGGAAGACTCAAACTCAAAGGATATCTAGCACTCCATGCAAGCGCACAGACCACCAGGTGGTGCGATAGTCTTACCAATGTCTGCTTCACGCGCTACTACTACCCCGACCTCGATACCTCCTGGGGCTACGTCTTTCCACCTCTCCCAGCGGCGGGTCAAACACCGTCAGATGAATTTATCGGGCTCTTCACCGGGCCTTCGTCACTTGGGTGGATTGGAAATAGTTTGGGTAATGGGATGCGTCAGAATCCGCTCGTAGTTGCATGGACGGATGGGAATACGCCCAGGGTTTCCGTTCGCTTTACCAGGTACGTGTTCATTTACGACACTCGAGGCTTCAACTTACGCGTCGACTTAGCAACTACTCCCCTCCGCCAGTATATTCGGGTCCCAGCGTCACAGTTCTCGGAGCGTCAGGAGTTAACGCAACCCACCAGAGAATTGTCTTCCGCTGCCAGGTACGTCGCCTCTGTATCGTAGTCAAGCACCCTTAACATTCGCTCAGCGCTGCACTACCTGGACCGGAGGCTCGAATGGTATCAGCCTCAACGGCGTCGCAACGTTCGGTTACGCTCTTCATGGAACGATCAAGCCTCTCACTCCCTCCGACCCCGGCTCGTCACTCTATCAACATACCATGGCGGGCCTACACACCATAGACGTCTCACAGGCGCACGACCCGCTCTACAACAACTACCTCACGACGCTACAGAATGCTCCTCCGGTCATACCTCCGACAGTGCCGTCGACGACTACGACACCTATCCCAACCCCTACAGGCCCACTCCAATGCCCTGGCGCGCCACAGCCGACGTACGCGCTGATGGTGGCCGACGGATGGCGAGCCACACCGGTCCTTGGAAGGCTCTCCTCGCCGCGAGGCGTTGCAATCGATACGATGGGCAACTTGCTCGTCCTTCAGCGAGGTCGTGGGCTGACAGGACATGGGCTCGACGCGAACGGATGCGTGACGAGCACGACGACTATCATTTCGGATACCGCTATCAACCATGCCATCGAGGTCCACCCGGATGGGAACAGGATATTTGCTAGGTTCGTCTCCCCTTTTGCCTTAAATTTTGGCTGCCTCGCTGACGGAAGATGTTGGGCAGCTCTTCGGATGTAGCCTGGTCTTGGGATTACAACCCTTCGACAATGACCGCGACGAATAGGAGGACTCTGGTTACTGGGTACGTCCTCTTTGTGCAATCTTCGCCTTGGACGGTGCGACTAATACCTCCCACTCTTCGATTCATTCAGAATGAACAACAACTACCACTTCACCCGTACCATCTTGATTCCGAAGAAATACCCTGATTATATGGTGGTCAACGTCGGGTCTGACGGGAACCTCGACTGGCCGACTTTCCACCCCGCAGCTGGACGGGCCCAAATCCGCGTGTTCGACCTCCGGACCCTCCCAGCGAACGGTGTTCCTTTGTAAGTTCTTTCTGACTTTCTACTCTTTGTTGTCTGGCCTTCGCTCAATCTGAACTCTCTGTAGCACGAGCGGAAGGGTATTCGGGTACGGACTTAGGAATCATGTTGGCATAGCAGAGGATCGGGGCGGAACGGTCTACAGTATCGGTAAGTGAGTTAAAAGGCTTCGGTCTTTCTTGTACTAATCCGGATTCGTAGAAAACTCCCTCGATGACGCCTATCGCACAGTCAACGGGCAACGACGAGATGTCCACAATGATAACCCTGCCGAAAAGGTCTATAGGCGTAAGTACTCTATTTTGCGATTTATCTACGCTTATCTCATCAAGACTTTTTTGTCCATCGACAGTGGGCAACCCATCTGCGCCGACTGGCTTCTGGGGTGGTTACCCATACTGTTTTACCGTCTGGGAACCCAGCAGTTTCATCGACAAGACCTTCCAGGTCGGCGATTGGTGCGTCTTTTCTTTTATCGTGCGAGATATCAACTCTGACTGTTCACTCTGTGCGATAGGTTCGTCCAAGCCCCAAATGCAACTCTCACAGACGCGTGGTGCGACAACAACGCTGTGAAGCCCATCGCTCTTCTGCCACCACATACCGCGCCGCTCGATATCAAGTTCGGCGTCGGCAGTGATACCAACCTGTACGTACCTATGCACGGAAGTTGGAATCGCAATCCACCCCAGGTACATTTCCGCTCTGAACATATAGACCTTCATAACTTACGCCGAACAGGGTTACAAAGTCGTCATTGTACCTGGGCAGTACTCCGCTTCGGGCGAGTGGTCGCCGAGCGTTGGCCTTGCTCAGACAAAAACGACATGGTCCGACTTACTGAGGAACCGGGCGGAGAACTCTTGCAATCAAGGTACGTTCTCACCCTGATAACCAGCGTTCGTACCTCCTACCCGCACTCAACTTCCGTACTTGGATAGGTTGCTTCCGCCCCGTCGGCCTCGTCTTCTCCGCCAACGGCGAAAATATGTACGTCGCGAGCGACACCTCGGGCGAAGTCTTCCTCATGAAGAGGAACGCTGGCGCGGTGACGACCGTTACCGGTGGCCCGACTCAGGGCCCGACTTCACAACCTACGTCTCAGCCTACGTCCCAGCCCACATCCCAGCCCACGTCCCAACCTCAGCCCACGACGCCGACTACCACGAGCACCGCACCTCAGCCCACGCAGACGGTTTGGGGACAATGGTATCTTGATCCTGAACATTTCCTTCTTCATGGTACTGATGATGCCTTTCCAGCGGTGGTAATGGATGGACTGGTCCTACACTCTGCGCATCGGGCTCGGTTTGTCGATTCGTAAGTTTCCTTTCAGTTTCCAAGTTAAATAATATCCTTATGCTGATATTATGCGCAGCAAAATGATTGGTACTCGCAATGCGTCCCTGGCTAAAATGAAGGAGTTGTATGATTCGACTTGAGGGACAACGTTCGTGATTCTATGTACAGTAGCGTATCGCGACAATTTAGGTATTCGTTGTATTTCAAGTTAGTTCAAGTTGAGGAGATTCGTCGGAGGGCATGAGAAGCAGGACCGAGAAGCACTTCAGTGATTAAGCCGCGAATGCTTCTTAGGGGCGGCTCCGAAGATGCGTATGTGCGAAGAGCACGGAAATAAGTGAAAGGCATCACAAGTGGGTTCTAGTGGCTTCAAAGAATATTATGTTTAATCTAGCACGTCAGTAATATGAAGTCCTTCTATCAGTAGTCTAAAGGGTGGTAAACGAGCGAGTCCATAAATGAGGGTAAGTCCATGAATCGTACGTGAGAGTAGTCTACGTCAGTAATTGTGGGGTAACGAATGACAACAGAGAACGCGGAAAGCTGATCATGAAGTCGAGAATCATAGGGCGCTGTCCGGTGTGCTCTTCGGATTGTTGAGCGAGTCGTACTTGGCGTGACTATGGACCGTGCCCGTCGAGTAGCCCACAGCGGGCATAGACTCGAGTTTCTGGAGGTTGGCCCGAGATTGCTTCAAGATCTCCGCAGCGACTTCTTGACCGTACTCTTCCGCGAGTTGACTAAACAAACCATTAGAAAAGGGCTATCGAAAGGAAGTACGACGGAACATACTTAACGTAGTTGTCCATAACCACAGCCATGGTGTTCATGTTGAGACGGTAAGCCTCGGGCATCATACCCTTTCCAAAGCGGTACGTAATGTGGTTCGAGCACAGCAGCCCAGCGAGCATGACACCAATATGGGCCGGGACGATCGAGAACACGGCCGTATACCACGTCATAAGAATCCTCCGCTCAAACTGTATATACGGGAGCTTGCACCCAGGGAGTATACTCCTCGCATAGCACGTCTGGCTGACCGTCGCCTCGACGAACGGGCTAAAGTACCCACAGCACCGCAGCTGGTTCTGGATCCTCATCCTTCCCTCCGAGCCGAGCGCCCGCGACCACTGCGCGTTGATCTTGCCCTCGAGGTTGAACGTGCGTTTCTTGTACGTGATGTACCCTGGTACGAGCAGGAAGATGAAGGTGATCCATGCGAGGAAGGTGTACCATGCGAGGAACCCGCGGTTGTTGAGCAGGATGCCGGCCCAGCCGATGACGGCGGTGAAGATCCCGATGGAGGCTGCGAGGGTGGAGAGGATGAGCTCGGGGCGGTTGCCGGTGCGGATGACGTCGGCGTGCGTCCAGACGTCGAACCAGGTGAGGAGGCAGACGACGAGCGCGCTCAGGGAGTATAACGTCAACTGGAACATTCGTGAGTAGAGTTCAGAGACAGGGAATGGAGACACGACGTACCAGGGTGTTCGTCGCCAACAGGATCCACTTGAACTTGTTCCACCTCAGCCTATTCCGCCCCTGCGGCATCCGCGCCTCGTTGCTCTTGAAAGCATCTAGCCCACCGCCTCTCTTCGGGAGACTCGGTCCATTGCTCTTCGCACCACGGAACCGTGCACCAACCGGCGAAACTATGGATGCCGAAAACTTGTTGGGGATGTAGTTGACGCTCAGGGAGAGGTTGCTTCCCTTCCCAGACGAGAGAGTGAGGCTGTCCGGTGTTCGCTTGCCGGCGAATGGTGCACTAGGAGGCTCGAGGAGGCCGGTGGTAGAGTCCGAAGTTGAGGAGTTGTTCATGTCGGCCAGCATGTGGCGTGTTGAGCCAGCGAGTGAATAGGACGAGTTGACGCGTGAGACGACAGATGCACGCCTGGAGGAACGCCTGTCGGGAGAGAGGAGCATGGAGGTCGTGGTCAGAGTTCGACGTGTCAGGATGGGCAAGCCAGGCCAATACCAAGAAAAAGAAAGACGTCAAATCCGATCAGCGATGACTGTACTCCAACACGAAGAGGCTGTACTCACGGCGAGTTGTTGTCCATCTACACCCAAGTCCAAGTCAAAAGAGCGAAATGCCGTCAGAGTTGGTAGTGGTAGAAAGGAAAGAATGGTGAGAAACGACAAATTGCCCTGAGATGATGTGAAATTACCAAAGTGGTGTTGTCGGAGCGGTATTTGGAGTCTCTGCGGCCGAGATATACAGACCACACGCGTTGCATAGACGTGGGGGAGGAGGAAATACAATGTACAGAGAAATACAGACAGGAAGGAAGAGGGAGAAATGTATGCTTTTCAATCTGGACGGCGTCCGTTGATCCCGCCGGCAAGCGGGGGCAGAAGGTATGCCAAGAACGCGTTCGCAAAGGCACCGCATGGCCCCTATTCGGTCGAGGACCTTCCTGCGAGCCGTTGGCGAGTCGGCACATAAATATGTGTATATAGATACTCTCCACGGACGTTGCGAATGCTCTGAGGCTCTGGCAAAAACTTCAATGTACCAAATTACCAAGAATATGATTCCTCTCAATATAATCAGTGTTCGAAGATTCATGAGAAAGCAAAAGGGCTGCACAATGCCATGAAATCTTATAGATTCGGGGAGCGGTCCGCAGAGGACCTCAGCACGGGGAGAGGCGGAGGTATGCATCCATGGGTTTCGATGAAATTTGAAGCTGAAGCGCTGAAGGCACGCTGCGCCAAATTTAAATGTGAGCGCTTGCCAGTGAGCGCTTGCCAGTGAGCTTCTATGACGACATGGCGGGCATTGAAACTTCCATCGGAGTTCTTCCGGGATCTGGACAATGACATGCCGGCCGCACGTAAGCTCGGCGAAAGCGAGGTGCCGCAGAGCCGCGCACAGGTGCCGCTCACAGGCTCTCTGGCCGAAAGCAATGAGATAAGATTACATACTGCAAGCACCACTCAAGCAGTGCACGAAGTTCTCTTCTCTTCCCTTCCATTCCCCAACATGCCCCTAACCGTTGCTCTCACAGACAACACAAACGACGACATGTATCGTGCTGAACCTCTCGTCAACGCCGCTGACATCCCCGACGACGGATGGATCGCCATCTTCGAGTCGATCGACTCGCCTGCAGCGCTCGCAGCACTGATGCGGACGTGCAAGCGATTCCACGCGCTAGCGTTGAAACCGCTCTTGAGAGAACTGAAGTGGAAGAAAGCTGAGAACACGAGCAAGAACCTCGACGCATGGAGTCCATCGGGTGGGGCGTATCACCACCTCGTTGCTTTGCCCAGGAAGGTTACGATTGGCGTGAGCTTTAGGTTCATTAGTTCCGCGGCTCTTTTTTCGGTGGGTTTCCTTTGTCGATTTCGCCTCCATGAAGTACTCACTTCGGACATTCATACGCACCTACAGTCCCCGGGCGAACACTACCTCCACGACCGGATCTACCTCCAGCTGCCCCAATTTACGTCCCTCAACTCACTCATATTCGAAAACACCATACTTTCTCCGCACGTATACACCATCCTCGCACAAATCCCCACCCTGCGCATTCTGGCGATATCCAACTGCTCCGTGCACCCCATCTACACACCCTCCTCCGCCGCCTTGCTGCCGTCTTCTTCCTCCACTACGCCCGCGCACGAGGGGTCCTTATTCCAGAACCTCCCAATCACCCACCTCTCGCTCCACCGTAGCGCGAACCTCGCATATGGTGACACCGGCAAGCCCCACCCACTACACCTCGTCACCGCGAAGAACCTCACCTCCCTGTCCATAACATGGACGCTGGCTGTCTCATCGCTCTACCAGGAACGAAAGTGGATCCTTCCCAAGCTCGAGACTCTAGAGGTAGACGTGGTGTTCCTGCCCCGCGACCTCTTCGATTCCCTCATCACCTTCGTGCGGAACTGCCCTCTCAGCCCCAACATCAAGCTCACGATCGACGACACCGACTTGGACGACCGGGAGCTGGGGACGGCGGTAGCGACGCCCCTGCGCGGCGTGTGGTCGTACAAGGTCCCTCTGGCCTTTGCCCTGTTCTTAGCGCGCCAGCATGGGAAGGAAGACGGCACGTTGACGCACCTGGCGATGAACGACCCGATGGATGTATCTGGGCTGTTGGATGGCCTCGAGAAGCTACCGCGGTGTGTCCAGGACTTGGAGATATGGGTTAGGAAGTGGGATATTGAGGTGCTGTTCGCGATCTGCGCCCGCTTTCCAGCTCTGAAGAAGCTAGTTGTCAGATACGGGGGTGGCGCCTTCACCCTAGTACGTCCTCCCCCCTCTCCTCTCTTCACTTCGTACTTATCACTCACCCTCTCAACTCAGGACGTCGAATTCCTTTCTACACTATCCTCGAAAATCCTCTGCGCCCTCAACGACCTACACACCCTCAAGCTCCTCCATGACAGCGCCTGCGCCGCCCCGTCTCAGTCGCGGTGGCACCGTTTCGATCGCAGGCATCAATCTCGGTCGCTCCGCCAGCAGCTACAGCGTATCTTTCGACCATTTCAGCACCAACGCGCCCGACATGTCGCAGGTGCACATCTCGTTCCCTGCGAACGACGCAGGCTTTCCCTCCTCCTCCTCCTCCTCTTCCTCTTCCTCCTCCTCTTCCTCTTCCTCTTCCTCTTCCTCTTCCTCTTCCTCTTCCTCTTCCATCTACTCGTCGCGCGGCGGCCGGGTCGTCCCACCCGCGTGTGAGAAGAGCGAGGATAGTGTTGAGCGTGTGGACTTGAAGGATTATTTGGATGGGTGGAGTAAATGTTGTACAGCGTTGAGGGTTGTGCAGCTCGAGAGGGCGTCGTTGTGGGAGAGGAGGTTCGAGGGCGATCAGTGGAGGGAGGTCAAGGTGAACGAGGAGAAGTAGGAGACGGCGGGGTATCGGGACTCCCGGCGTGGGGTCTTTTTATGAGGACGAGAGCGCGGTGGAGGGACGATGTGAGGACGGACACTGATAAATTGGGATCAGGACTCGTATTTCGTGTGATATATATCTGTAGCATACTTCTTGTTCTTTTTTTGTGCATCTTTTGGCGTCAGCCATGACATCGGCACAGAATTCATTTCACCTACTTTCTTTCAAAGCTTTTCATCCAGTGTGTACTCCAAAATTGCAACGAGATGGGACCCACATACGTTTAGATACTTATTGTTTTTGTGGGCGTATGCTACGAAGTAATTTATTGACCGTTTTGTTCGTCGAGTGCCCCGGAATGGATGTTAGAATCTCCTCCAAAAGTCAAGGGCTTGAAATCTATGATTAAATAATTGCAGCCTCTATCCTCAACTATGCTGATGCCGTTGCTTACACCAAACTCCGAAACCCACGCCGGAGAAATACTTCGCGAACTTGAAGCTGTGAGAAACCGGATTGAAGATGCTTATTTATAGGAATAGTTTTTCGAACGAGGAATAGATCCAGGGGAGAGGGTTATTTGATTTCTTCGCAGGTGTACAACTACAGATAAGATAAGAGATATGAAAGGAGATTACCGAGATTACCGAGATTCCTGGCAAAGACTCTTCGAAGCTCCGATCTAGGGTGGTGACTGGTGTGGTTCTGATTGCGGTATCTTATCTTATCTGACCGTTTTCGGCCAGCCCGAAGTAACTCAGTACTACCATACTTACGGACTGAAGATTATTCCCGTTGAGACCTCGCCAGTAATCGAATCTTCCTTCCTTCCTTCCTTCCTTCCCTTGGATCTATTCCTCATTGGAAAGTGTTCTCATAATTCAGCGCTTTCGATCCGGTCCTTCAGCGCTTCGCGAACTGCTTCTCCACCGCGAAGGCATGAGCTTCGGAGTTTAGGGGGGAACGGCATCAGGATAGCTAAGGATGGAGCTGGAATTACGCATAGATTCAGTATAAAGCCTTAAGGGCCCATTGACCATTGTACGAAATCTTGACGTGTATTATGGGGAAATCGAAGAGCAAAATGATTAAGGTCCCTGAGGTAGACGCCTCGTTTTAATTTGGTGTGTACTATGAATGCCGTGTATTTTGCTGTAAAAGCATCGTCAGCATATCCAAGATATTAGGAACGGAAAAACGAGAGCTTACCTATCGACAAGTTGAGCCAGTCGGGCATACCTGCGGCCTTTTTCCGCCGTTACCAGTACCAAGGACCAACACTGAGAACCATCGCCAGAATCAGGGCGCCCAATATTGAAGGCAGATGCGGGCGGTTGCGGGATACGCCACTGCCTCTCTTGAGGAGGAATACCTCGCCGGATGTGTCGCTTGTGACGTACAGGCTCTCTCCAGATGGGTGCCAGACGAGGCCAACGGGGCGGAAGCAGCCTAAGGTTATTCAAGTTCGAAGTCAGTGGCTGTCGAGTTGTCAATAGAAGGTAGAGGACGACAGACCTCGCTGGCACTGCGTCTCATCAACGTTTCTCAGAAGGTCATTGGAGATGGTCTTCGTCTCTGCTAAGCCGACACTAGGTGACCACTCTCCCGTCGACGAGTACTGCCCAGGTACAACGACCACTTTATATCCCTGTCATCGTGTTAGAATCAGTTCATCCCTCGAAATTTGCGATAAGGTGATAATTACGTACCTGAGGCGGACTCCGATTCCAGCTCCCATGCAGGGTAACGTACAAATTTGTATCACTCCCAACGCCGAACTTCATATCGAGCGGCGCTGTATGAGGTGGGAGGAGAACGGTCGGCCTGACCGCGTTCGAGTCGCACCACTCATCGGTTAGTGTGTCGTTGGAGTCTTGGACGAACCTTCAGATCATTTTCGAATTAGCAACAGTGTAGGCATATGCAGAACAAAAAGAAACATACCAATCTCCAGGAGCGAACGTTCTATCTGTAAAATCTTCTGCTTCCCAGACGGTGTAGCAATAAGGATAACCGCCAAATAAATTGGTGGGGTTGGTGGGGTCGCCGACTGCGTATCGAGGTCACAATTGAATTATACTTGAAAGCGGAGGAGAGGTGGGTTTAGGTACGTACGCCTATAAACTTTCTCGGCAGGGTTATCGGTGTGGACATCTTGCTGTTGATCGTTTACGGTTCGGTATGCGTTGTCCATCGAGTTCTCTGGAATCGATGTCAGCCCAAAGCGCGTTCAAGAGGAGAAGCCAGACGTACCAACACTATGCACGATCCCAGCTCCATCCTCAGCCATCCCAACGTCGTTCCTCAGCCCATAGCCCATGATTTGTCCATTCGTACTAGAAAAAGAGTCGGTGGATAGTGGGGCGTAAAACTTTTAATGCATACTTGTAAACAACGCCGTCTGCGCCAATCGTTCGCATGTCGAACACCCTAATCTGCGCGCGCCCACTGGCGGGGTCAAATGATGCAAGGTCGATGTTGCCGTCTGAGCCAACGCTCGCCATGATGTAATCTGGGTACCTCTTGGAGACGAGGAGGGTTCGCGTGGTATGGCCATCATTGTGCATTCTAAACAAGAGAACAAGATTAATCCCATCTAAATGGAGCACTGAAATTTATGCAACTCACCCCGTAATGAGAGTGGTTCTGTTCGTGGCAGTCATCGCGACGGGGTCATAATTCCAGGACCAAGCTTCATCCGAAGAGCTGCAGGCCCGGCCAATCGCTCATCAGCACGACCATGGCACAAGAGAAACACGTAAGCGCACCTCGCATAGATCCTATCGCCCGCCGGGTTAACCTCGATCGCGTGGTTCAAGCTCCTGTCCGCCACAACCGTCTCGCTGCTTGTCACACACCCATACTCATCCACCGCATGCGCCGTAACACCCACACCCCTCTGCAGAACCAACAAATTACCCCTCCCATCCATCGTAATACCCCTCGGCGAGCTCAACCTCCCAAGGACCGGCGTAACCCTCCAGCCCGCCGCCGCTACCATCGAGTACGTCGGCGCTGGGGCTCCAGGGCACAGTTCCCCAGTTCTCGTCGGAATAGGAGCCGTAGTCGTGGTTGAAGGAGGTGCGGAAGAAATAGGTCCAGCGGCGAGCAGTTGCTCGAGGTATGCCGCATATTGGCCGGTGTTCGCGTTGGCAACGTCGAGGTTGTGTTCGCCAGCAGCGGTATGTTGGAGTAAGCTGGAGCTGGGGTCGGAGGGAGAGTTGGGCTTGATAGTCGCGTGGACGGCGTAGCCGAACATGGAGTTACCACTGAGAGTAATTCCATTCGAGCCGCCGGTCCATACGGTGCAGTTCTACGACACAGGAGCAACGTGAAGAATGAGAGAACCGGAAGAGAGATGGCACCCACCTGACAACGGTAGACGATTCGTTGACGTGTCGCATTCACACCGGACGTCCCCAACACAGTGAGGACGGGACCAGAAAGCGGCGTTGGTGGTTGATATTCCCTGCGAAGTGGATTTCAACATACGAAGAACTTGAACAACGACAGTACGCACCTGCCAAATCGAACAGAGAGTACAGCCGCACTCTCATTCACCCACCCGATGACGAGAGGGTTGGAACGCATCCCGCCTCCGAGGCTGTTTCCTATCCACCCTGTCGACGCTGGCGCAATGAAGATGCCGATGAACTCGTCTGAAGGAGGTTGGCCATCGGATGGGAGAGGCGGAAAGAGGTATCCAAAGGTAGTGTCCAAGTCCTCGAGGTAGTAGCGAGAAAAGCAGATGTCGGTGACGCTGTCGCACCACTGGGTTGAATTTTGTGCATTGACGTAGAGAGCTAGCGAACGAAAACATGAATCTGGTCAACCGTTGGCTGTTGGACCTGATGGAAATGACGCACCGAAGAAAGCAGGTAGTAATCCCCGCAGAATTAAGGTGAACATCCTAGTGAATAGGTCGTCATACCTAGGCCATATCCATCTCTTTATGAATGCATAGACGAAGAAACATCCGTGAGCCTGCGCACCTACCCCACCGGCAACAGTGCATCATCGAGAAGGAAGGTCGACTTGCATCCACCAATGAACACGTTCGTAATTGTAATTGACGGAACCGGAGGTGAGATTGTCTTGTGTCGGATCTGTCTCGGGTGCTGGATCGTAGGCGAGGTCGTAGCTGGCAGTGGCAAGGGCGAAGAGCGAGATGACAAGGCAGATCGTCATGGAGGGGACGAACTGGCGCGTCGTCCTGTTTCCGCAGCGAATTTGTTTGGTTATATGTTTGGTCTTAAGCGACGCCAAGTCCCCTCCCCGTCTCGGCGCCTTCAACCAACCATCGACTGGGCGCTTCCACTGGGAAGCAGGAGGGCAATACAAATGTGAGGCTTGCGAAGCATTCCGGACGGCTATTAAGCGACACTTTTAATGTTAAAACCGTGTGAAGCAGATTTATTTTAGGCACCAGGTTCTAGACTCGTATGTACTTATTCGCGAATTCTTCGAATGCATCAAAATAGGAGAATATAAGCGAGCCCGCACGGTAGTGTGTGGGGCACGGAAAAGTTGTTTCGGTGGTAAAGGTAGACGAGGCCTGATTCAAAGATAACAATTGACTCGCACTATTAAATAATGGTAAACTGCTTTGTTCTAAATTTGAGATGAGCAATAACTCGCGTCGACGGAATCAGAGCACTCGAGGAATCGTGTTAGGAGAGCAATAGGCGCTCTGTCCAAGGAGCTCCACAAAATCTGCCGCGTTGAGGAAATCTATGGGCACGGGGACTACGACAGGAACCGGAGTCGTTGGCCCACTTGTGCAGTTCTCGTCTCTGTAGAGCGTCAAATAATCAAATCCAAGTCCCAATAAGAACCATACTCACGAGAACACGTAGCACGTTGCGGGCTGGCAAAATACCGCGTTCGCGATGATCTCTCCATTTTTCCTCCACGGGACACACTGGTTGTAGACCACAGTTTCTGGGGGTCCACTTCCGTAGCGGATGGCGGCGAACTAGAAGGCGAGCAATATCAGCCGTGATATGACATAGGTTCAGATTGATAAAAGCAAATGTACCGTTGTATCAGGATTTGCGGCCTTACAAGCCCTATACTGCTCGGTGTCCTTATTTACGTCAACCTCGCCAACGATTGGAATATTGAGCGCAGACGTAAGACTTAACGCAGCAAGGGAGATGATGAGTGTGAACTGGAGCTGCATTGTGGGCGAGTCGAGTGAGTTCCGTGCTGATGAATTCCTCACGCAAACAGGCTTTATAGAAGACGGGAAGGAGGACCAACCCTCTTCTTCGAGCTCGTCTTTGCTTTTTACGACAAGCAGAATGGAAGTTGATAGTTTCCCGCTTCAATTTCAATATGTACTTCGTAAATACTGCCTTCATTCGATCTGATCGGACGAATAAGTCCTATGAGGCGACGTTACTGTCTGTACACCTTGAGGCAGTGTGTGCTGCAACCAACGATATATATGCACAACGTAGAGCTCGTAAAGTGATCAACGTCGCTGTGCCGGTCTCAAACTTGTCGAGAAAGGAGCCCCTTGAATCTTGTAATTATTGTTCGGCCGCAATGTGGCTCATTAATATTAATGTGGTAGCGAAACTCACCCGAACACGCCTCTTCGGCATGCGATTGGATTTAGGAGCACGATACAAACCATCAACAGCTCATTCACAGAAGGGTTTGGGGACGCAAAAGGTTTCCGGGATGACGTTCCAGAGGAAAGCTGAAAAGGCAGCACCTGCAGCGCGCAGGGTTCCTCCAAGATCCCTAGATATCCGTTAGGGAGTGCAACACGCGCACAATGGCGAGCGGGCTACAGGTCCAATCGAAACTTTAGAATGGGTTTTAAACATAGATGACGGGTGCGCCACGGGCGTAATTAAATGGCCGATTTCAAAGACTGCATTCCGGTTATTGAGGTAGATAAACGCGGCCCAGTTTGGGAACTTCGAACGATTCGGACAGAGTTTGTGATAGCTTTGCATGTCTACGCGTCGCTATCTTATCCTGGGTACTAATGGCGAAGTCTATAGTGTCCGAACCGTGAAAGATATGACTCGTGTTTACGGGATCAGGGTGCCCAAGCCGTTCGGGGAGCAATAGGCACTCTGCCCAAGGTACTCCACAAAGTCAGCCGTGTTGAGAAAATCGAAGGGGACGGGAACGATGACGTTGAAAGGAATTGACGGTCCGGTTTTGCACTCCTTATCTCTATGTCGATCAGTACAGCGTCAGCCAACGAAGTCCAATCTGAACGATAACACTCACGAGAATACGTAGCACGTCGCAGGCCGGCAGAACACCGCGTTCGTGATGATCGCTCCATTCTTCCTCCACGGGACGCACTGGCTATACACCACAGTTTCTGGAGATCCACTTCCGTAGCGGATGCCAACGAACTGGAAGGGAAGAAGTTTCAGGAAGATGCGACCCTTTGATAAATGTGAAGGATCCGAACGGTGTCGGGGTCAGCCTCCACGGCCTCCACGCATGCGTTGTACTGTGCGAGGTCCTTCTCCGCATCGAGCTCGCCGACTCCTGGTATGCTGATCGCAGTAGCAAGGCTGAAGGTAACCAGCGTGGCGATGATAGTGAAGACGAACAGCATAGCGAAAGAGTGCAGTAGGTTTCGTGCTTCTGACGTGAGGATGGGCGAGCGAGAGGACAAACGGCGATGAAATGATGCGGCCGAGAGTATCGTACATGAGCGCATGTACCGACCATATATAGCGACGCGATCTAAATATAGAATAGGCTGACGGAGAACGACTTGGCCTGGAGGCTGGATATGTAGGACGGGATAGGAATCGAATAGGGAGGCGAACTGGGATCCCATAGCGAGACGAACTTCGGAATGAAAAGAGGCCTAAGTGTATGTTCAGGACACCTTCGGACAGTAGGTACTCAGTAGCGCTGCAACCCAAGTAAGTCGCAATCTTCACGAGGGACCTCAGAAGCAAATCGCTTTTGCCAAAAGCCTGAATTGTTTCCCTGCCCGGGCTTGTAGCGATGAAAAGACAATGAACAGGCGGTGTGGGTGCTTCATTGACATTAATTTCAGTGAAGCATGAACGTGCTCTAAAAATAGATGTCCATATCGGGCGGCAATCGGGTCAGGGTGGGCGCTTATTCCATGGTAAGGCCGCAAACACGGTGATTGGCCCCTCGTATTAGTCTTCAAAGGAGGATCAAGTACCAGAGAATGATGAAACCATACCTGTATAAATGATCGGCCTCGTGGAAGGGACATAAGGCGCTCAGTGACGCGAGTTCTGTGTCCAAAAGGAGCCAGAAATCGAAGAGGGTCTAAGTCTTCTCCGAGCCCGCATAGCCGTGGCAATAGAGGAGCGCAGGTGCAGCAGTGGGCTTGGGCGCGGGGCGCTTGGAACTTACTCAATGGAGCAAGGATGACGAGATCAGCCAGGTCAAAAAGGAAGTGATTCACCCCCCATTTCCACTGTCGAGGCAACAGCAAAGAAACACGCACCTCGATAATCACCCCGACCTTTCAGATTGTCGTTTCGGCTGTGTAGATAACAGGATTCTCCCCCCTTCTCTCTCTGATTGGCCACAAAAAGAGCGTCAGGGTGGGAAAATAGGGACCTTGTCTGACAGGTAAAAAAGTAAGAAGGCAAGGTCAGGCGAGCGGCTCTCTTTTTCCAACATGAGGTTACACATATACCTCTCGAGCACAGAAATGGCTGCCCGCGCTCTACTTCGTCATACCCCGCCTCCACTTTGGAAGAAATCCTGTCGTTGAGCAGCACGGTAAGTAGTCTCTTGGGCTCTGTCTTCCCATCGCTTGTTTTACTCACAGCCAGGCCCTCTAGGTTCTCGTTTGAAAGCTCTCCGCGACGTCGACGCCGTATCGTGTCCATGGCGGCCCAAGATCTTCCTGCCGACGTCCTTCTCAACATCTTCCACCTCTGCCTCGAAGATCCAGGCCCGATACCGGACGATCCTCTTCGCAGTTCCCGCTCTTTGAGCCAAGTCTGCACGTCATGGCGTCGTATCTTCTTCTCCGACTTGAGGTGGATAGCCATCGGACACGCAAGCACCACCGCGCTCGGTGACGGACGTGAATACCGTATGACCATCACACACCTCGTCCAAGGGGCCAATAGGCCGGTCAATCCCCTCGACATCCCTCTTCCTTGGTCCTACATCGCGTCTCTCGATCTACACGGCCTACCCATCCACCCACGTGTTGCGTTACGCCTCTTCCAGAACTCGTACACCACTCTGGCTGAAGCATACCTCCAAATTCACGTCCAAACTACCAGCACGCCGACCACCGCTTCCACCCTCGCTCAACCTTTCCCCATGCTCCAGACGACCCTCAGACGGCTCACGAAGGTCCATCTCATCATTATCGACGATGCCCGTGGCTCCGACGAGCTCAAAGACTTCTTCACCATCGCCCATCTTCCGAAGTTGAAGCATCTTCGAGTGGAGGCGGTCGGCGGACTGTCACTATGGCGTCGTCATTTGTTGTCCTCCATCCTTCCGTGGTGTTCGCGGCATGTCGAGCAGCTCGACCTCATCCAGGTACCGCCAGTTCCAGCTGTAGGTCGCCTCGGGGCCGACGTCGGTCCTCAACCCACAACGACGCGTCATCTCACATATCAAGATGTCGAGGACCTCTTCCAGTCCATCCCGAACGTCCGCTTCCTCCGCCTACCACGCTGCATCCTCCTCCATTCAACGACTCTCAGGAAGCTAGAGAACGGCATTCTTCTTCCCTTTCTTCAGGTACTCGAAGTTGGTACGAGCAGCGCGGAGAACGGAGACGATATCCTGTCAATGGTCGCGAGGCGAAACTTGGAGGCAGGTTGTCGTGCAGGGCTTCCTCCCATGGTTGGTCCATCGAACGCAGTAATCCAGGCGGGGTTCCAGGCGGGAGAGCATGCCAACGACGGACCACTCTACCCAATTTTCTCGGTCGACCTTTCGATACCGGAAGCAGATGCGGAGTTCTTCTCGCGGGACTGTCTTTCGCAACATCTTGGAGGCCTTGAGGGTGTGGAGGTAGAAATCGGAGCGTGGGTTTAGACAACCCCTCCCGGGCGGGTAGAGGTATGACGTGTCAGACGATCGTTACGTAGAAGACATTCTTGATTCTTGTCGTATATTATCCGCAGCGAACCTACGATCTCTTGGTGTTTTTCTTGATCTCCATTCTTGAGTATGTCGCTGTAGGCAAATGTGGCCTTGAGTTTGCTGTATCGCACGTAGACAGTGAAAACGCCAAACGAATGAATTCAGAAGTCGAAATACAAGGTGGACATAGCAGAGCAGGAACAGGTGAAGACGGATCTAAACCGAAGAAAGATCAGCTAAACATCTGGGAACTTAGAAGAGATCGCTACCAATCGTGTACACTGTATCGCTCATATAGCCGTGCGGATGGCGTTTTCAAAGGAGCGAAAGCTGTTTGAGGCTCTCCAATACGAGGTTGAACTTGATAGGAACGAGTTGAACTGAGTGGCCTTGCGAGGATCGCGGCCACACGAGGATGGCGCGTCGAGCTGGAGAGACGTTCGTCACATCGCTGAGGATGGACCAAAGGTTCATGGCGGAGGATCTTGGCTAAGAAAAGGAACTGCGGATGGGAAGGAAATAACCAATTAATAAAGGCTGTAAATTTTGTTCAAGGCGTAGGCACACCTAATTCCGCTTCCTCGAACGGTGTCATCCATACTCCAGCACCACCGGTCATCGTCACGCAGTCTGGGTGAAAGGATGGCGTTTCCGACAGAGATCTGCGCTGGAGAGTCGGGACGCCCAATGGTGGGTGATCATGGGTGATCGTGTTGGGACCTGAAAGGTTGGACCAAAGTCTTATTGCCGTGGAGGTGGCGTGGCGAGGATGGTGGCTGCAAGAAGACGGCACGCAGAGCTGGAAAAATGTTCAATGAGGACGATGTTGACGATGTCGACCGCGAGAACTGATGATAGGAAGAAAAGACATTACTGAAAGTTGTAAAATTGGTTCAAGATGAAGACACACCTGATTCCTTTTTCTCAAGCCCTCGCCCGCTACCGATATCGAACGACGCCACCAATAGAACTATCCATCCCAACTCCCGCCGCTGCTGGAGAGAATGGGTCAATAAAGAAGTGCAGGTAGAGTTTGGACTTACCCTAATCCTGCATGGCCCCATTGTCAGTGTTCAGCAACGAAGATGAAGTTTATGGATCCGACGCGGAAGGAGCGACGGAGGACGCTGCGTTACGTGTCGAATTTAGGCTAGGTCGCGTCTGGGAGAGAAGGCAAAGATTAGTTAGTGATGTACTTGGGAGAACAATCCAACTCGCCTCTGAAGGATCTCCACAACACAGCTCGAAGACCAATGCCAACAGCAACAGCGGTTCACGAAGGGCTTGTTCCCGAGTCCGCGGTGATCAGCCAGCGTCCGACTACCGACACACGATGCGAGCTTGAGTGGTCTTCGCCAGTTGGCTTATAGAAGTACTCGTAGCAGGACGACGAACCAGAGCCAGCTTAGAGAAATGGTCCTTTACGCGGCACTTGGTGTAGAGGCGAGTCTCCCGGGTGCAGGGATGTCGGAGCTCGCTCAGTGACCAGCAGCAGGAGGATAGATGCGCGTGAGCGGAAGAGAGTGCGACAAAAGGAAAAGCATTGGTGGTGGTTGAGAAGGAAAACGTAAGAGGCGGAACAAGCCCTTACATAATCCTTCCGACAACGCTATCACCTATAAAATCGAACGTCACCCGGCCTTTTCGACGAGGATTAACGGCTAGTAGAGAGAATGCTGTCTCCGCCTTTCTCTTCTTACAGTACGGTCAACGAGATGTCCCAGAACAAAAAGACGACTCTCGATTCAATTGAACAATCCTGTTGCATAGAAAGAAATATCATCCGCTAGTCAATCTAATCAACCTCGAGAAACGACACCAGACGCTCGAATAAAACCTCCAAGAAATAGCTCACCTTGCCATCTACACTCGAATCCGGGTCAACAACGTCCATTATTCAGTCTACGGCGAGATATATCTCCTCTAGAATTGACATACGATCCTCATAAAGCTCTACAATCCAGCGACTCGTCCTACGTTCGCGTCACCGACACGGTCCTTAAGCCCGAAGAGCACCAGCACTAATTTTTGCAGCGATACCGCGTCTGGAGAAGCCCGGTCCAGGAGAATAGGTCCTCGCCGACGACGGTCCATTTGAAACCCTGAGAAGACGTTAACTCGATGGAGAGCGTGTGCCCATCCAGACGAGACCCGGGAAAGAACCCAACTTTCACAGTCCGCGTCCCACCCGAACACGTTCAACACCACCACGAGCGACGAATCCAACCCATCTGAATCTTCCATTCCCCACCGCCAAGGTACCCAAGTCCCTCAGGCTGGACCGATAATGTTAACGAACGGTCGTACAGCGATTTTCCACCACACAGAAACCACGTACCTACCTACCTACCAATACCACTTCCATACGACACTAATACGAGCACGAAATATTTAAATCCAGACGCGCTCGCCTTGCTCATACAAATTTACAATTACACTATCCAGCACACCAAACACCCCGACTCATCCAACCAACGAATTCCGTTCAGACCCTCTGAAATTTGAATCAGGTCGACAACGACAACGACAACGCCACTCGACAACGCCCACGGACGACTGAAAAGATCTAGAGACTTTCGAATTCCCCGCAACTGTAGGACGGCTCAGGATCGAATGCCGCTGCGTAGCGCCAATTTAGTTTGACGACTGATCCATCGTCAGCAGCCAGCGATCCATTCTCCTCCAACAACGACCCGAAGGTTGATAAACCGCGAAGGTTGATAAACTCCAAAGGTTGATAAGTAAACCGCGAAGCACAGCAGCCCGCACGGACCGAGATCGTAAGAACCCGAATCCGAATTCGAACGGAATAGAAAATGGCCAGAAGGAGGTAGCGGATCGTCGGCCATGGGCCATAAAATGTCTCTCAGCCTCGTCACGCTACTTATTTTCGCAGCGGAATAGCCGGTACAACACCTCCTCCAGCCCGACGAGGACCGTGACGATACCCGTCGACCGCGGATATAAACACTCAAAGTGAGGAAGCGAAGCTAGGCCTCTGGGCTAGCCTTACACAGCAACATCAAGACTCCTACTTCCACCCCCGTCCATCGTCCACCCATCACCCATCATCCAGCCCCGTCCTAGACCACCCCAGTCCTAGACCACACCAACACCAACACCGACACCGACACCGACACCACATCCATCCATCCCCCACCCCAGTCCCGGACCTCCACTATCCCCTCAGACGCGCTCGTAGGTACGCCGCACGGTGAACATCACGGACGAGCGCCGATCTTGGACTGGGGTGACCCGGAGAGGACTGGGGTGAGTCGGAGAGGACTGGGGGTGACTAGGAGAGGACTGGGGGTGACTAGGAGAGGACTGGGGTGACCCGGAGAGGACTGGGGTGGCTCGGAGAAGGCTGTGGTGGGGTGCAGATGTCGAACTCGAGATACGAAGGTGACGGCCGACGGCGGGTCCTGTGAGGATGGATGTGGTTGGGGAGGCCGGTGGGTGGATAGAAGAATGAAGTATGGTCGGCGGGGAGAGAGTTGGCAGTCTCGTCAGAGCATGCCGACTGCTCTTCGGATAGACGCCTCGTCTGCCGTGTACACGTTCGAGTAGTCCAATATTCGAGTTCGAGCGGCATGTGGACGAGGAGAGCATATACGCGGACAAGAGGAAGTGACGAGATATGAGAGACTAGTAGATTCCGAAACGCCCCGAAAAGATTCAGATGTTCGTGGCGAACACGCACATATATGCGCTCGATTCCAACAGAAAGGAACGGAAGACCGCTCCGCTTCGACGACGCATAAGTACATCAACGAAAAGCGAGTGTATGCGCTCCGGACGTACCGTGGACGACGGTGTCGGGAGGGACTAACGACGACACGAATGGTTCCTCGAGTAGATTGATGGGTGGCCAGTGAAAGATGGGAGGGTGGGTGTCGATAACATGGAGGAGGAGGGGGATACTCATACGAAGAGCTAGGAGCTAGGATCGGACGGTGATAAGGAACGTCCCGAGGGACGGAAGGGCAGATGGTGCCCGGATGTCAACTCGGAGCATATTTAACGGGTGGTTTATTCCGTGAGGACGGGGACGGCGCATACATCAACGAAAAAGTTCGTATATGCATATGCGCCTCGGACGCGTCGTCGACGACGTTCATGGGAGGAACTTCCAATGCGGAGAAGGGGTAGAGATAAGATGGACGAGAGGTACGAGGGCCCACAGTGAAGGGCCGCACCTAAGTTCCAACACAGGCAATATAGGGAGGGTGCCATCCAGATGAGGGGAAATGGACAGTAACAAGAATAAGAGGAGAACGACAGGAAGTCGCGCAACTGCCTCCATGTATCATCCACGCGACCGTAGTGACAGCGGCAACAGCGGAAGTGACCCGCCCTGCAGCATGTAGCGCTCGGGAGGTTCGTTGACACTCCGTAGTAGGCACCCTTGCTCGGAGGCGTGGATAGGAGAGTGAAGGAGGGAGGGAGGGAGGAAGGGGAGGCGGACTGGGAGGGGAAGGAGGGAAGTGTAGAGAGGGGCAGCGGAGAGGTAGAGTAGCGGCCGGGGATAGGTCCCAGGGTGGTGTGATAGGATGGCGGGGGCGAGCTGGATAGATGAGATCGCGAGACAGAGGCACGTGGAAGAAGGAAGGAGTGGTGGCGGAGGGAGAGGGGAGGAGAGGGAAGCAGGAGAGACGGAGAGAGGCGGCGTTCGTGAGTGGGGGATCACGATGACCAAAGCGGGGCCGAGCGGACGTCGAACGAAGGTCAAGAAGGCGGCGGACAAAGGAAGGAAGGAAGATAGGTAGGTAGGGCGCGTACATCAACGAGAGAACGAAAAGCGAGTATATGCGCTCCGGACGCACCGTGGACGACCGTTCCAGGAATAACTTCCAGAAGGTAGTGGAAGAGTAGATTGATAGGCTGTCTGCCGATGACGAAACAACGAGAGTAGATAGGATAGACAAGAGGGCTACGGGAGCGTCGTGAGAGGTCGCACCTAACGCATGCAGGATGTGAGACACGGCGCACATACGAGAGGAAAGGAGGAGCACGTCGATGAGGCATACGGGGACGTACATGAGACCCAGACGCGCCGGCGCCATGGAAGGAAGGAGCCAGCGGATCGGCAGCATGGAGGGGAGGGGCAAGTGGGGAAGAAAAGAACTCGGTCAGCTCGTGTTTGGCATATTGATTTGGGTAGATAAGATTAGATCATGACTCTACACATACCCGAACTTCCGACAGACCCGGACACTTCCCTCTCCCAACCACGACGACCTCCGAGTCGAGCACACCTGGTCTCTTCCCTTCCCCTCCTATCCCCTAGCGTCTTTCGCACCCCACCCACCCGTTGGCCACAGCCTCATGACCTCGAGATTGGCTTGGCCATGGACAGACGCCTGGGCTCGAGACCGCCGCTCTACGGCCTCCACACACCACCCTCTTCTTCCTGCAGGTGCAAGAAACTCTCTTAATTCTCGATCTCTTCATGGATTACTCGTCTTTTACTCCTACGCCGAACCCCCAGCGTATCCGCAGACTCTCCCAGAACGCACCAAAGGACAGTCGCCTCAGAGATCCTTGCAGGAAGCGGCATATTATAGTCACGCAAGCCTGCAAGGTCTGTGTGGCAACCCCCGGTGCATTCTGGGATTCACTCTCCGGCGAGCGCTTCTCTTGCTGACGTTCCTCCCTAATTCCTAGACTTTCATTTTCCTGCTGATTGGAATGGATACGGCCGCGGTCTCCCCCCCGCCCCGTCCCGTCCGATATCTAGCGTCCTTCAGGATCTTCCTTCCTAATCTCATCTCATCTCACCGACTCAGCGCCTCTCAAAGCGAACGACAGGCTTTCATCTGCATTCCGATGCTCCAACTTACGCCCGGTTCGCAAATAAATCAATCAATAAATAAATAAATGTCCAGCATCCCGCTTGCTCACGCTGCGAGGTTCATAGAATTTGGGACCCCTTTTCCCACCGTTCCTCTCGGTCGGTGGTTCCTAGCACTGAAATCCCGCCACTCTCGAGCTCGCACGTCTGACTTCGACCCATTATCGCCGCCGGATATGCCGACCAGCGCACGGCACGTCCACGCTCCACACCTCCATCCTCGTCCTCCACACCTCCATCCTCGTCCTCCAAAGCTGCGTCCTCATCCTCACCAAAGCTGCGCCCTCGTCCTCCAAAGCTGCGCCCTCGTCCTCATCCTCGTCCTCGTCCTCGTCCTCGAGAGCCCATACGACTTACCACGCCCACCGTTCTTGTGAACCTTGGGCAATCTGGAACCCAGGTGCGCTCTCACATCTCTGTCCAATTCTACCCTATGAGCTCAAAACGTGATCAGCTGCAGGCAAGTCAGTGTATGCGCCATGGATTCAGAAGGAGTTTCACGCAAAAAAAGGAGGGTAAACTTTTTTTTTGCTTTATCGTTCAAGTACCCCGATTTTACATAATATGACTGTCCACAGGACGAAACCATCTCCGTCTCCTCCGGTGCGCGCGCCGTGCCCGGGCTCATAGTCGTACGTCCTCTGCTGTCTCCTCTCCTTCAACATTCTAATATTGCTCAAAGTTTTGAACCGTTGATTCCTTTATCCTTGCCTACTTTGGATCTCGCTGACCGAAGCTTGGTCTATTCTCCAGGGTTACGCCAACCAACCAACCAACCTATCGCAAATTCAATCCGGGTCATTTATCGTCGACTCGTCATATATTATTTCGCAACATCGAACTCAGTCTCAAATTTCAAATTGCGCTTCCTCGCGACCTCAAGATGGAACCGGTTGTCATGTCATGTAATGGAAAGCGTCCTCCTCAACGCCGTTCCCACTGACACACCTCTGCTCTCTCCCATTCTTTATCTCACTAGCCTCCAGCTCACGTACTTTTTTACCATTTACCATTACCCCAGGCCATCCCGGCGTCCCCGGCGAAACTACAATCTATGACACCTCCGAGACGATCGTGCACGCCATCGTTCCGCTCAACGGCGGCTTCCTCCTCAAGACCCTTGCGATATCGATCGATCCGTATCTGCGCGGCTTGATGGGCGGCACGCATCCTGAGGCGTGGGAGGTCGGACAACCGTAAGTTCTCCGTTCACTTGGAACAGTGATTATGAATTCGAGCTCGTGTACTCTACTTAGGACTGGAGGCTGCTGAGCCGTCTGAGCCGTCGTTCGCTCTGAGAACCCGGCAGTAATTTAAAAGGTTGGCGATCATGTTATTGGTCTCACCGCTGCGTGTTCTCTCCTTTTCACATCGAACTCGAGGCAGTAGGCTGAGGGCGGTGTTTGGACAGAGCACAAGCGTTGCACCATCCGAAACGACCCGCAGAGCTTTTGATCAAGTGCTTGAGAACCCGTACGGACTTCCTTGGACGACGTTCTTGGGCGTCTTGGGCTGTCCAGGCGCGTTCTCACATCTCTGTTAATAATTTGAGAGCTCAAACTCGAGGGTCGTGATCAGGCAAGTCAGCGTATGCGCCTTATTCCATTGCTTTTGTCATGTAACCCTGGCCCTAACGTTATTTTCTGCAGGGCGAAACTGTCTTCATCTCCGCTGGTGCGGTCGCCGTGGGATCGTACGTCTTCTCCTGTTATTATTTCATATTCCTAACCTTGAACCCCTTTATCTTATAAAGCTCGTCATCCAACTCGCCAAGGCCGATGGACTCAAAGTCATAGCCTGCACGAGAAAGCCGCGTTCATGAAAGAGCTTGGCGCGGACATCGCTTTCGAATATACGACCCCGAATACGAGGGATAAATCTCGGAGAAGGGGGGTCCTAGCGATATGTGAGCATATCCGGTCTTGAGCTTCAAATTCTTGGGTTGAATCTGCGAAACAAATAGCTACTAGGATATTAATGTTGGTGGCGAGACTCTCGAAGTGGCTCTTGACGACGCGAACAACGGCGGTAAGTTCATCGTACATAAGTGTCTTCCGAGTCGTTCAGCAACGAGACATTTCCTGACTAGATGTTATCTAGGAACGCGGTATGATCTCAGGCTATAACACCAGACGTGCCCATCCGCGTATGTCGACTCCTTCCTCCCCCCTTTCCTTCCTTTCCCCACTCCTCTCGACAAAACATAATGTGTTTGGCCGTTGTGCTCCTGTGTCGACCTCCAGTGTTCCCAGAGACTCCCCCAGAACGCATCGAAGGATTATTGCACCAGAGATCCTAGTAGGAAGCGGCCGATTATAGTCACGCAAACCCCCCAGGGTCTATGTGGCAACGGGCCCTCGGTGCATCCTCGGATCCTTCCGTCCGTGAACTGCTTCTCTCTCCTCGACGTTGCCTGACGAACTCTCTTCTCCCTCGAGTATATGTGTGTGTGAAACGATCCCGCCTTGTGAACCTGCGCTTCTTATGAGATACATAAGTAGCGCTGGCATTCCAGATTCTAAATTTCCACCAACGGGAATGAAGTATGAAACCTCGAATGTTCTTCCGTCTCTCGCGGACTGCCCAGCGCCTCTCAAAGGAAACGACGGCCTCGCATTTGCATTCCGATGCGCGCCCGGTTGCAAATAAACGAATATATGACACTTTGCCTGCTGCGGGGTTTGTTTACTTAACCTCTTTGCCTAACGTTCTTTTTGGTTCCTACTTCACTAGCGCTGAAACCTAGCCACTCTTGCACGTCTGACTTCAGTAAACGTACGTACGTATGCCGATCAGAGCACGTCTCCGCTCGGCGCTTCGACCTCATCAACCCGAAGCCTTGTACACCAAGGGAAGATCGTTACATCCCCCCTCCTCCTCAGTAACTCAGTAATCCCCCATCTAAAGACTAAGCGGTTGGACGAGAGTTGATTTGTGATCCAACAAAGTAGGCGTTCGGTTCCAAGACATCCGACTATCCTCCATCAGATTTTCCTCTTCAGGCGTTTTCCAAATCCCGGGCGTATCCGACGGGCAGAAGCACTCGGAAGCACAGGGCATATTATATGTGAGTCTTAGTCAGGCATTCGCCCTCGGGCCAATATTATCCTTTCCTCAGCGGTATGTCCAGTATAAGAGCCACACGATATTGAATCAATCGAAGCCCATCAAACCTTCAATTTACTATCCTCTCCTGCTCTATCTAACTTACAATGGCACCGGTGATTAACGGACGTGTCCTCTTCAACTCCATCCCCGAAGGTACTTCCATCTCCTACCCCCCCCCCCCACACACCCACCATGTGGTTTACCTGATCCCCAGGTTTCCCGTCCCCAGCGAGACGGTCGTCTACGACACCTCCGAGACTATCGACCCAGACGGCGGCTTCCTGCTGAAGACCCTCGAGCTGTCCATCGACCCATACTTGCGCGGTCGGATGCGGGACTCGAAGGTCGCGTCGTACCTCCCGGCGTTCGAAGTGGGCGAACCGTAAGCCCGATTCCGAATTCAATCCTTCATGAAACAGTCGCCTGATGGTGCTTTCTTACCGCGTGTTTGCATGTACAGGTTGGTGAGCCACGGAGTCGGTGTCGTCCTCAGGTCCGAATACCCCGGGATCAAGCCCGGGGACCACCTCTACGACGGGGTCGGTGCGTTCTCCCTTCCTCCCTTCTTTCCTTCCTTCCTTCCTTCGGCGTCCAAGTTCTGTCTAACCACCAATCACACCTCCACAGAACACAAAGAGTACACGATCCGCAAAGACCTGAACCACCTCTCCGTCATCGAGAACCCATACAACATCCCCTGGTCAGCCTTCATCGGCGTGCTAGGTATGCCGGGTGCGTTACGTCGAGTTATTCCTTGTCAAATGTGAACTCAACTATAGAGTGATATATTTACGCATGACTGCGTATATGGGATGGAAGGAAAACTCCCGCGCGAAGAAGGTACGGATCCTTCAGTCCCATCCCTTTCCTGACCTACATGATGTAATATTTGGTTAGGGCGAAGTCGCGTTCATCACCACCGGTGCTGGCCCCGTCGGCTCGTGAGTTTTTCTTCCTTCCTCGCCGCACTTTCCTTCATTCCTTCCTTCCTTCATTCATTCATTTAATCACTCCTCCCAGCCTCGTCATCCAACTCGCCAAAGCCGACGGCCTAAAAGTCATCGCCTCAGCCGGGTCCGACGCCAAGGTCCAATTCATGAAAGACCTCGGCGCGGACATCGCCTTCAACTAGAAGACCACCAGTGTACCCGAAGTGTTGGCGAAGGAAGGCCCGATTGATATGTGAGGACCTGATCTTGCTCTCCCGCGTCATGAGGCTGAAAATCGAGGCAGATATTGGGATAATGTCGGCGGGAAGACGCTCGAAGCTGCGCTTGATAATGCGAATATCCGCGCTCGGTTCATCGTGAGTGGGCTTTGGGCAGTGTTTACGGAATTTGTTCCTAACGCATAATAATATGCCAGGAATGCGGCATGATCACAGGGTACAACACGGGCTACGAGCCCATCCGCGTACGTGCCCCTCTCCTCTCCTCTCCCTCTCCTCTCCCTCGCTTCGAACCACCACTGACGTCCTCCTCCCCTCCCTCCCTCTGAATCCCACAGAACCTCGGCCTAATCATCGGAAAAACCATCAGCATGAACGGCTTCCTCGTCTCGCACCTCGAGCCCACCTACATCGACCAATTCTACAGAGAGCTCACGCCGAAAGTCGCCAGCGGGGAGATCAAGTACCGGGAGCATGTATATAGCGGCCTCGAGAGCGTCGGAGAGGCGATATTGGCTGTGCAGAAGGGCGAGAATAGGGCGAAGGCGGTGGTTCATGTTGCGGACGACTAGATAGCTGGAGGAAGGGAAGGGAGAAGTGTTGAGTTGCGCGATAGATAATTTTGTCATTCCCCCACTTATTTAAATGGAGTGAACATTAGATACTGTGGTACTTGGGACTGGTATAGTTGCATGATATTTTCTCCTTCCAGTCCTTAAGGGATAAATCAGTTATGCTTGGCGATACGTGCCTCAAACGGAAGAAGGGATATCGTCAAGTCTCTGTAGTTCCAGTCCTTGAGACATCGAAGAAGCACATCAAATGCTCTCCTGCGGCCCGAGCTCACAAGATTCCTAGCTTCGACTCAAGAGTCCGCTTACTTTGAAGATCTGCTATCTCATGGCCTAACGAGGATCGCGGCCGGCACAAATGGATGTGGAATAAACTACTGGATGAAGTTCCCATTTGAACGCATCATTTCTGGCGTTCGGATGACTTGGACAATGCAGTCAAGAAGAAGTGATTTCGACGACACGAGATGCTTCTGGATAGGAAGCAAGGAATAGGGCAGTGAAGGGGTTTTTCTGACTTCAAGTCGGTATTAGAGCTCGAAAGAGGGAATACTAATTATCCCAGGTACCGACCGCATGAAGGTCAGGGAAAGATTGTGAGATACCTTGGTTAAATTCTACCTCGTCGTCTCGTGGAGTCATAGAGTGCACTACTTCGGGGACAGTCTGGCCGTTGCTACTCAATGTGGGCTCCTGGATGGCGCAAACGCTGCTGAAGTCCTTTCGATAGCTGAAAGCGAATTTCATTGAAAGGTTTAAATGGGAGGACCTCGAGCGGTGTGTAGGATAATGACACTCCCCTTACCACAAAGCGTGTAGGAAATTGGCAAACAATGTTGCTGTAATCTGGTTGAGTAATGGGAGAATTAGCGGAGGAATGATACAATTATCTATTGAGGGGGTAAATCAAGTGCAATCTCCTTCCTCCAACTAGCTGACAACTAATCATCCACGACATGGACGACCGCCTTCGCCCTATTCTCGCCCTTCTGTACAGCCAATATCGCCTCCCCGGCGCTCTCGAGGCCATTATACACATGCTCCCGGTACTTGATCTCGCCGCTGGCGACTTTCGGCGTGAGCTCCCTGTAGAATTCCTCGAGGTACTGAGCCTCGAGGTGGAAGACGAGGAATCCATTCAGGCTGATCGTTTTCCCAATGATCAGGGCGAGGTTCTGTGGGGAGGGAGAGCGGGGAGAAACAGGACGTCAAAATTGGCCTGGAGGGGGAGAGGGAGAGGGGCTCAGAGTGACACGTACGCGGACGGGTTCGTGACCCGTGTTGTACCCTGTAATCATGCCGCATTCCTAGCATATTCGTCAGGAATGCTTTCCGTAAAACATCGGCCAATGCCCACTCACAATGAACCGAGCGCGGATCTTTGCGTTATCAAGCGCTGCTTCGAGCGTCTTCCCGCCGACATTATCCCAATATCTGCCTCGATTTTCAGCCTCATGACGCGGGAGAGCAAGATCAGGTCCTCACATATCAATCGGGCCTTCCTTCGCCAACACTTCGGGTACGTTGGTGGTCTTGTAGTTGAAGGCGACGTCAGCGCCGAGGTCTTTCATGAATTGGACCTTGGCGTCGGACCCGGCTGAGGCGATGACTTTCAGGCCGTCTGCTTTGGCGAGCTGAATCACGAGGCTAGGAGAAACAAATGAGTTGGTGGAAGTGGAAAGCGACAACGAGGAAGGGCTCACGATCCGACTGGGCCAGCACCGGTGGTGACGAAAGCGACCTCGCCCTAACGGAATATAGGTCAGGACAGGAATTTGGGAGACTAAAGTAAGCGTACCTTCTTTGCTCGGGAATACTCCTTCCACCCAATATACGCAGTCGTACCTGATGGATACATTGGGATTGAGTTCATAATCGAATGTGAATTGGAAGCTCGACGTAACGCACCCGGCATACCTAGAACGCCAACGAAGGCTGACCAGGGAATGTTGTAAGGGTTCTCGATGACTGAGAGCAGGTTCAAATCTTTTCTAATCGTATACTCTTTGTGCTCTGTTGCGTAGCCAATGGTCAGAGAGACCTCGTCCACCGAAATTCAAGAATTAAAAGAACGCACCAAGCCCGCCGTAAAGGTGATCCCCGGGATTGATCCCCGGATACTCAGACCTGAGGACGACACCGACTCCATAGCCTGACAACCTGCGCAACCACAAACACGACGCGGTAAGCACCGTCAGGTTAGACTTCCTTCCTTTCATGAGAATTGAGTTCTGAATCAGACTTACGGTTCTCCCAACTCAAACGCCGGGATGTACGACTCTATCTTGGAGTCCCGCATCCTACCTCGCATGTACGGGTCGATGGACAGCTCGAGGGTCTTCAACAGAAATCCGCCATTCAGAGGAATGGTCTCGGGGTCGATGCTCTCGGAGGTGTCGTAGACGACCGTCTCGCCGGGGACAGGGAAACCTGGGGAATAAACCACATGGGTGGGGTCGGACTTTGGGTAGGTGGGAACTCACCTTCGGGAATGGAGTTGAAAATAACACGTCCGTTGACCACTGGGGCCATTTTTATAAGAGAAGGGTGGAGAGGAGAGTGGATTAGGGGTTTGGCAGGCTTTGGGTGATTTAACACAGCGGCGGCTCTTATACTGGACATATCGCTGAATAAGAGTCATGATTTATAATATCAAGTGTGGATCACAAATCAGTTTTCTTTCCATCCAACGGCGTATGTAGACGGGAGAAGGGCTTACTGATCAGTGCGAAACTTACCTTGGCGTGCAAAAATTCGGGTTGATCGGCGTAGCTTTGATGAGGTGCCAAGTGGACGTCCTCTGGTCAGCATACGAATTGAAGTCGGACGCGCAAGATTTAAGTTCGGGTAGGATAGAAACTGGAAATAATGATAGAAAAGGCGGTTAATCAAATTGACCAACCTCGCAGCAAGGGAGATTCTGAATATTTATTTGCGAAGCGGATGCACTGGGCATCGTAAGGCTGGGTAGGCGAGAGTGCGACAATCCTGTAGGGTGCAATCGGATAGAGTGAAGAGCATACTTAATGGGTATGGTCATGGACGAGAAACGAGTGCGCCAGAGACGGAACAACATTGGAGGTTACATAATCCATGGAAAATTAAAATCTGGCACGCCACCGCTATCTCATGAGGAACTGAGATTCATGAGGGAGGATAATTTCGCACATACACTCGAGAACGCATCAGGAACGTCGACGAGAGAACCAGTTCACGGGAGAAAGGATCCCAGAATGCACCGGGGGTTGCCACACAGACCTTGCTGGTTTGCGTAACGATAATCGGCCGCTTCATGCGAACGGTCTCTGAGGCAATTATCCCTGCGATGTGTTCTGGGGGTCTCCAGATCCGTTGGAGGTATGGCACAGGAGTAAAGAGGCGATGAAGTGAGAGAGATATCGTGGAGCTGACGAGAGGGGCGCGGCTAGGAATACTGGAAACGACAAGTGGTCAGTGAACAGGGTTACTTAGAAAAAAATGAGAGCTTCGTACCCCTGCAGGAAGAAGTGTGTGAAGGCCCTAGAGCAGCCGTCACCTCGCACTGGAGCCCACGCGTCTGCCCAGAAGCCATTTCCCGCTAATCTTGCAGCTGTGTACAACGTGTGAGGTTTGAGAGACGCGAGGGGATAGGATATAAAGCAAAGAGACCAGCTGTGGTCGGAGGTCGTCGTGGTTGTGGAGAGAGAAGTGTCCGTGTCCGTCGGAAGTTTGGGTACACCTTATCTAATCTTATCTATCTAAACGAGCACACAAGTGTTGAAACGTTGATTCTTAGTCACGATTCTTTCAAGTGTTGTAACGTAACTCTGGCGCTGAGTGAACGAGAGGGAGGAAAGTAGGCCAATAGTCGTCAGTTCATGTCTGCAATCGCGTCCTAAAGAGTACACGCCATAAACTGGCTGCCTACACTTTTTCCCTTATTCACATAGAGCCCAAATACCGGCCCACATCCAAGCAAAATAGTCCAAGCCCCTTTCACCGCCCCTCAACATCTACTCATCGGCGACGTGAACGACCGCCTTTCCCATATTCTCGCCCTTCTGAACCGCCAATATGGCTTCTCCGACCTTCTCAAGTCCTTCATAAATATGCTCGCGATGTTTTATCTCGTCGCTGGCTACTTTGGGGGTGATATCGGCGTAGAACTGAGCACTGTACTTGGCGTCGAGCGAGAATATAAGGAATCCAGTCATCGTGATAGATTTGGCGATCACATTCATTATGTTCTGGGGAGAGAAATGTGGGTCAGAAGAGGGAATGAGGGTATAAAGGAGAGGACAAACGCGGATCGGCGCGCCGCCGGTGTTGTAGCCTGAGATCATGCCGCATTCCTAGGTGATTTCTCATCAGGAAACGTCTCGTTACTGAACGACTCGAAGGCACTTACGATGAACCTAGCGCCATTATTCGCGTTATCGAGAGCCGCTTCGAGAGTTTCTCCACCAACGTTATCCCAGTAGCTGCGTTCGCAGGTTTAAAGAACTGAATAGCCAAGCATAGAACAGGGCAACGCACATATCGATCGGCCCCTCCTTCGCCAAAACCTCCGCCGTCTTCATCGTCTTGTAGTTAAATGTCACGTCTGCTCCAAGCTCTTTCATGAACGCGACTTTCTCGTCCGAGCCGGCAGAGGCGATGACTTTCAGTCCATCGGCTTTGGCGAGTTGGATGACGAGCCTATATAAGATAAAGGGGTTCAAGGTTCGAAATAAGAAAGAATAGGGAGGAAAAACAGGAGAGAACGTACGATCCCACAGCGCTCGCACCAGCGGAGACGAAGACAGTTTCGCCCTGCAGAAAATAACATTAGGACCTGACAAAAGCAATGGAATGCTGACCTTCATCGCATGGGCGCACTCCTTCCAAGGCGCATACGCAGACTTGCCTGATCACGATCCTCGTGTTTGAGCCCATAAAATATAACAGAGATGTGAGGGTGCACCTGGATAGCCCAAGACGCCCAAGAACGTCGTCCAAGGAAGTCCGCACGGGTTCTCGAGCACTTGAAAGCTCTGCGGGTCGTTTCGGATGGCGTAATGCTTGTGCTCTGTCCAAACACGAACCTCAGCCTACTCCCTCGAATTCGATGTGAAAAAGAGAGAATACACACCGATGGGACCGACGACCTGATCATCCGCTTTCAACTCAGGGTTCTCAGAGCGGACGACGAGACAAACGGCGAAGCCTCCAGTCCTACACGATATCAACACACAATTTCGACTCTCATCTTCGAATAACTTACAGTTGTCCGATCTTCCATGCCCCAGGATGCGCACCGCCCATCAAGCCGCGCATATACGGATCGATTGATATCGCGAGGGTCTTAAGAAGGAAGCCTCCGTTGAGCGGGACAGTGGCCGGGTCGATTGTCTCGGAAGTGTCATAGATCGTGGTTTCACCAGGAATGGGGTAGCCTGGAGAAATACTAGAGCGCGGTAGAAGGATGTTACCGGGATAAAGGCGGGAAAGTGCAGAGGCGTACCAGTGGGAACGGCGTTGGAGAGGACACGTCCATTAGTAACTGGTGGCATTTTCTTGAGGTCGCAAATTCTGAGTGATAAGAACGATTGAGAATGAATTCAATGAGGAGAAGCGGTGAAGGGAATACGAGGCGAGGTTGTTTCCGGGGCGAATCGACCTCCGACTTCGTGGTACTTATGCTCTCCTCTCGGCCACCTAGCCACACATGAATCCATGTCATATCGATCCCGATGACGAAAGCCTAAGCACTCACGAATACTTTATATTACGGCGGTCAATCTGGGCGCTGTGGCACGTCCGTGGACGCAGTGCGCGAGCGGGAGCGGGCTATGCAACAGCAATAAATGTAGTCTAAATAAAAGTCCATAGGCAGAAGGCACACGAGAGGATACGGACATACCTGACGGGCCATCGCAGCTTGGCACCATGTCAGGGCGACCTACGGACGAAAAGTGAACAGCGTATGATTGAGAAGACCATGAATATGTCGTAAACACCAACGCCGGGAGCTGAGTAAAGAACGCAGGAAGAGACGTGAGATATGAGTTATGTGTAAACACCCCTTCCCTCACAACTCAACGAAAGCAGATGACGTGAGGCATTGCATTCAAATTTGTATATCACTGCCCATTCATCGCATTCGTTGGTCCCACTCGATCAATGCCGAAGTTCAAGTTGAACTCTACTTCTAAATGTGTCAATGTCAGCGCTTTCGATGCCATAATGAACTAGAACTCGAGAAAACATGCGCACCAGAAGAGAGCATCGTCATGGCAGGATAATAAACAACCATTTCACGCTGCCTAGTCCTCGATATCCAAGTTTCCACCCATCAAGAGCCTATAAATTGACCGAATCTTGTGTGTTATGGCCGTCTAAAGTCAGCGATGGACTCGAGCTTCGGAAACAGCAACCTATTTGCGCGTAATCCATGAGATCCGCGTAGTGTAGAGGAAGGACGATCACCTCGTAGAGCTTGACCAAACGAGAAAGGGTGGAACGGAAGCCAGTCAAAGATCAGCTCTAAGTCAACGGCACCGTCGCCCGACAATCAACCCCACTTACGAAACACGTTCCAAGTCCACATTCCAAGAGGTAAACAGGGCTTACTGTGCATGTTCCACGCTGGATAGATCGCGAGCGGCGGGAAAGACAACGGGGGATCGAGGGTAGTCGGGTGTCCGTATCCATCTAATGCGCCAATTTCGACGCATTGGACAAACATACTACGGAGTGGGACGCGAAGAGAGGTCCTGGAGCGTGAGTCCCTATGCCGGAAAGAGACGCAAAGCAGTAAGCGCCTCTTTTTCAGCATTCGGAGCATAGAACCCCAAGAAGCGGGGAGAAAAAGGGATAGAGTAGGTGAGCGAACGACGCCTGTCTCGTTCTGCCCCAGCAGGCGCACAGAGGCAAATTCTTCAACACGAGCGGTGGTGACGCCGACGAGACTGAATATTGCGCGGCTGAGCATTTGGGTGCAACGCGGTACAGCTGCAGCGAGACGGCTCCATGACAGGGTTGAAGGGGTTGATCTGGTGAGCGGCGTACAGTGAGAATGACGAGATGGTGGAAAGAGGAAAGGCAGGTCGCAGTTCGGTCGAGCACGCACTGTGATGCGACGAGTTGGTTGGCATAGCACTGGACACCAAGCTCCACTCAATTACGTCAAAGATGGAACTTGCCTTGGTGGTTGTGAGTGCGTGAAGACAGTGAAAGAAAGATCAACGACGCATCTGCCATCTCATTCGCGTCGTCGAGTGCGCCGAGCACAACCTTCATGTCATCTTGATCTTTCCGAGAGCATTCCACTGAAAATGAATCTTCTCGACGGCCATATTCGACGAGGTAGCGGTGGTGAGAATCGATTTCGAAAGAGACAGCTATAGAGCAAATAAAATGGCGAGGGCGGTGTCAGATCACGCAGTGCATATATGCGCGCCAAACGACGACGATCGATATCCAGGCACTCGGAAACAACGAGAGGAGCACCGCCAGTGTTCTCCTGATCCAAAGAAGAGTTCCTATCGCGGGCTTCCCGTTCCAGAAGATCGCTCTGCACCAACACTCGACGAGACTCCCTCAGTGATGACGCGGCGTACCGAAACCCCCACGTTGTATCCACTCATATGGTTCATAGCAGAGAGGACGGAGTCGGGGGTGTAAGCACGGCCATCCTGGAGGAGCCTCCTCGTCGAGGTAGGTATCGTCGTTGGGCTCTCGATGGAAACAAGCGGGTCAAGAAAGGGGACGAGATGGATATTTGAGAAACGGACATGACATGCCGAGCCTGAGCACTTCTCGGTCGAGCGGCGGCGGTGCACAGAGCCTGAATCTAATGGGACCCTCCTCCGTACAAGCCATTTCAACCACGTGTGCCGCCCTTTGGTGAAATGGGACACCAATGGGTGGACTGGACGCGCGGAAACACGAGAATGCATGTAGAGGAGGGTCCTCGAGGCTAAAGCACGATCGGAACGAGCGAGCTCAACTTGGGAACCATACACCAGAACACGCGAGCGGGAGCATAGGCTGGGTGCGGAGGAGGGCCTTGCGGTGGGAGGAGCGACGAGCGAGGGATGGGGTGCGATGATGAAGTTTATATTGACGTGATGACGGTTGGATGGGGGGGAAAAGAGGGTGTGGAGAGATCACAGGGGTGGGCGAACACCTGTGCTCCTCGACGGAGGTTGTGAGTCTGCGAATAGAGAAGAAATGGAAGCTTAACGACGTACCTGGGCATCGACGCACTTGCACCCTTCCCAATGTCTCCTCTCTGATTATCCCAAAATCGAACAAGCCGAGGTTTCCAGCATTGGCGAGGCGAAACGCCGATCTTGCTGCGATTACCGAGATATGAATACTCTCAAGGACCTCTCGAGCGAGCAAGGAACACCAAAGCGGAGCGTTGATGAAACAAGAAGGGATGATGAGGAGGCACGGATGAGGATGCCATCCACGCACCACGGAGGTGATCCTCCACTGAGCTCGAAAAGGGGTATAGCTCACCCCGTCCCTGAAGCGTTAACATAACGCGAGGGACAAAAGAGGAGCGAAGACTTGAGCAAGGGTTGGAGGAGGGAGTTCCGGTGGGAGGCAGGATGGCGGAGGTGAAAGGGAGGGGGTTGGTGGTTGGAAGGATTTCATGCGCGAGACTCCCCAAGCGAGACGAGGGCGAATTATGAGCGAGATCGGGGAAATCTGCGGTAGTCCAGTCAACAAAAATTCGGAAGTACAGAGAGGAAGAAAGGAGGGATCGAGGGCGCACCTTAGGTAGTAGCGATGTAGTCGTCACCACCGTCCTTTCCTCGACGCTCTTCCCTCGGTGAACTTGATCCAGCCGCATGGCGCAGTAGCACTGGTTCAGTCTGAAAGTCGCGTATCAGCGAACTGTGCGAGAAAGGAACAAAGCGTAGTGGGCGAGAAAAGCAGGAGTAGACGTCATCGCCTGCAATCGAGTCCGACAAGCACACTCTTCTCTAGTCCACGAGGATGGCCAGCAGTTCTGTAGCTTGAAGTAATACATTCTGAAGAAGAGAGACTGTCCTGTCGTCTGGAATGAAAGGAGGAGAGATCGATGCGATGCGGGGATGGAGCATGGGTGGAGAAACGGAAAGAACTTGGAGAGCGGATTGTTTGGCGCGACCCTGGATAGCAAGCTACGGCAGATCGGCCCGAGAAACTGCGACGCTTCCTTGGCCCGTGCGCCCGCCTCTTCCTTTCTCCCACCACGTCCTTAGTCGGACAACCCTACGATCCCCCATGTCAGCAGCGCTTCTACAACCTCAAATCGTTCCAAATCCTCTGCAAAGCGTCTTCAGGCCTCAGATCTCCTTAAATCTCTCATGGCAACCGATGAATGGATGAACGATGCGATGTTCAAGTTGGTCACAGATCCGGGGGCAGGTGCGTCGCTGTTGCTATCTCCGGCCTTCCGCTGCTCATCCATCCGATTTTAGAACTGTTCAGGTTCAGGTTTTTACTTTACGGCGCGTATGCTTTCCTTCCTCACTATTTCCATGTCCGCTTTCTTCCCATGAACTTTCCGCGTTCGCTGCACTATCGTCTCCGCTGCTCCACACTCTCCCCTCTGTTCGACGCAAGCGTTCTCGGCGCAAAAGTCTACCTACCCGTGACACGCTCCGTGGTTTCTTTGAGAACCGCACGCTCACACAGCTCTGGATCATTCACCATGTTCTGATTCAGGCTGTTCACATGGGCAGGTGAAGTTGTTGGCCGGTGAGAGGCGCTTGCTCCATAGACACGGAGGTACCCAAGCAGTCCCAATTGGATATCTTCGATTCATCTTTTTCGGTCTCACCTTCTCTCTCTCCAGATATATTCACCACCATCCAAGTTTCTCTTCTTTGGTTCCTATCCCAGATGCACGAATCTACGGTTAGATCCAGGACCATAAGCTCCGTCATATTCTAATATCTGGACAGACGATGACCCCATCTAGGAAAGGTCGCCTGATGACCAGGAGGAGGGGTATCCTGGTGCCTCTGCGGGCGACAGCGCCGCTAATCGCTATCCTCGAACACGAGGGAAGGGTAATGGATGGCATCCTCGGTCCACCATCTCCTTTTTCAATCCTCTTCTGAACTCGCCATCCCATTCGAGCGTCGCCCACGGAGGTTCTCATCCCATGTGCCACGCGATTGTCTTGTCTCAAGACTAGGATGAGTACCAGGGATGGAAAGGGCATTCTCGGACGCGCTCGCTCGAAAGTGGTGGAATTCAGTCACCGGTCCCATCAGGGTGGCACCGTTCGTGATTCCATATACTCTTCCTCTCGTTCTTCCCGCCCAATATGT